GCCACTATGCGAATGTAAGTGAACAAGTGAGGTACGTAGTTTTTGAAAGGTATCAGATTGGTATAGTTGTAGTTTTCATTAGGTATTAGATTAGTATAGAGGTCAGATAATTTATACAAAGCAAATGATATTTTATCATTGCTCATGTAAGATGGAAGTAGAGGCCATGGCACCATATCATGAGCATATTTTTATATTGAAACTATCATTGGGCATCAATGATGTGTATACGACGCTATGAAAGTTCAAAGAACTGGAGATTTTTCGTACAATTTACGTACTTAGCCCGTACCTAGTTTATTGGCAAAAATATAGACAGTAGAGTGAGCTAGGTACGTAGTTTATGAAAAAAAAAATCAAGACAGTCGAGTGTGCTTTTTTTACTTTCTTTTGTTTTTTGTTTCGTTTTCTATTGGCAAGTGATTATCTAGGAACTTGTAAATTTTTTAGTTTTTCCATCGTATCTCCCGAACTATTGAATTCAGAGAAAAATGTTATAAAGATTTTTTGTAGATTTTATCAAAAGGAATAATTTTGGTTCTTTAACATTTTCAGATATTTCCAGTTGTTTTCGAGATATTTGGAATTATCTGAGAATAAAATTTTCAACACTTTTGTTCCATCTTCCAATCAACAAAATGAAAAAATATTTCATGGTTCAGTGGAAGTCGATGAGCTTCATCTATCGATAATCTATTTTTTTCAATATATCTTCATAGTACCCTATGGGTCGTAAAAATTTTTTTTTTCATATTTTTCACTTTATTTCCTGTACTATTGAGTTTACAAAAAAAAATATGAGAAGTAATTTGTAGGAAATGTCCCAGTGGATAACTTTGCACTCCTGATAATTTTCGATTTTTCCATTTGTTTTCGATATATATTGAATTAAAAGGATTTCAAATTTTGATGTTTGGGTTTTCATTTGTTTTTCCAGTTTCCGATGGATGCACGAAAAAATGATTGAATGATAATTTGTTGCGTCATCAAAGAGGCATACGGTGCATTTCTCAAATTTGGATTTAGTCTATTTGTTCACGAGATATGTCGTTTTAAAGCGAACCGTGTTTTTCGGAAAATCTCCTTGAAAAACCCACTTGGAATTTTCCGACCCTGCTCAATTTCAATAGGCTTCGTCTCTTCCTGATAGAGGTTTTTTTCACAAAAAATGAAATCGATCGGACCACTTTTGCGATTTGTAGAGTGATTACAAGGAACTTCCGGTGAAAAATCGAAAAAACCCGGAAAAACCACCTTAGAGTTTTCCGATTTCCTTCATATTTTAATGACATAATATTGTTTTGAGTACAATAAGATGGCAAAATTTCAAGTCGATATGTCAAAGGGTTCCGGAGATATATCGATTTATGATTAACACAGAGTACAGACAGACAGACAGACAGACCACACACAAAAACCAAAGTTGCTCAAAATTCGATGGGGATCATTTTCTCCAAAGCAACTATACCTCTATCTCGCTTAGTTTCCGAGATAGCATTTTTGGCACGGCCGTAGTATACTCCACTATGTATAGCGTCGTATAACAAGTCTCTTCAACTCTTCATGCAAATGGTAAGTTCCTGAATTAATAACTATGACACCCGTCATGATAGGAAACTGAATTTTCAAGACAGCGTTGAGGAGGGAATGATGAATATATTAAAAAATAATTATTAGGGAATTTCACCGAGTTAATCATGAATAACAGGGTGATTTCAAAAAACACGATTTTTTGTCATTTTCATCATCGAAAATCTTCATGATCACCCTATATATCTCAACGAAATCATGTTCATACGGTATCAGCTATCTTGGGAGGTTAACAATTCACTCGAATATACAGGATGTGTATGAATAAATCGGTCTTAGGTGTCACCAATTTTTCAAATCACCCTGTATGAAATATATGAATTGTGATTCATGATGGAATGAGAATAGTATATTGCATGCCTAAATTATTTTTTCGATATTTCATTATTACATCTTATCTTCAGACATCACTGAAATGTTTATATGTTTCACTCTGTAAACAATCACATCATATGAACCATCTGAATTATGTTGAGTAATATAGAGGTTCGTTAATGATATGAGCGAAGAAAATTGTACTTGGCATCTTTGAATTTCGAGAAAATAATTAAATGAAAAATACCGATTTGTAACTTCAACGCCCTGTATCTCAGAATCTGTTCATCAAAGAACTTTACGATTCTGCAGGTTCAATCAGTTCATCGAATTCTACAACATACTGAAAATTCAGAGAATTTCACCGAGAACCATTTTACGTACTATAAGTGCGGGGTCCTTTCACATGGTGTGTCACCAGAGGCATGATGGTACAATATTTTTTGTGGTGATCATCATTAGGGCATTGCTGGGATTACTTCCTGAAAATATTGTGTTCTACAATACTATACAGTATGTCTGAAAATTTTAAATAAGGTTGAAAAGGAATATTCTCAGATAAATTATGAACATGAAAAAATGGATATACAGGGTGTTAACAAATAAGTGTCACAACGATAAACTGTAGATTCCTCATAATAAAAGAAACATTTCTTTCCTCTTCAAAATTTTTCTCTGGGCTTCCGTTTTCAAGATGCAGGGCGTCAAAAAATGAAAAATGTTCTGTTTGATTAAACACACTTTAGAACACTTAATAAACTTAACAATTTGAAAACCAGCATCGAGACCAGCATACTCAAGAACCTGACATTTGATCAAACATATCATTAGACAGTTCTGAGGTGTTTATTTCCAGTGGATTTTTAGACGATTTTTGGAGATACCACCAGGATTTTGTATGATCTTATTCATAAAGAGCGATTTTTCTCGGAAACTGTTCACTTTAAAGCATTGAGACAAGAGGACGTTTTTTGTGTGAAAGATATTGGTGCTTCAGAATCTACTTTGAAAATTACAATTTCTCCAGTGCCATAAATGTTTGGGGGGTTAAACCCTTACGAGGCGTTGAATTCTCCTCCACTGACATTTCCAAGGAAATTGATCAAGAGCCCTAAAAGTAGTCATTATTGATGATGAAGTGTGTACAAAGGCTTAACTCCGTAGCTCAGACGGTTCCTGATATAGTAGCAAAAAACAGTTTTTTTTGTATTCTTTTGACGCCCTGTATCTTGATAACGGACGCCCGGAGAAAAATTTCGATAGGGAAAAAATGTTTCTTTTTACATGAGCAATCTACAGTTTTCCGTTGTGACACTTATTTGTTAACACCCTGTATATTTATATATAAAGAAATACATTGAGAATTCGCATTCCCTATGTGATGAAAATCGGTTTATACAACAGAAAACAACTACTTTCTTGGCTATATGCCACGACGAACATGGAATTATTTATATCTATTGAACACACATGATGAGAATTTGATAACAAAATCTTCTGGAGTTGAGAATATGCACTTTTCTTCAGATAAAAATATATATATACACATAATATCATTCTAAATATTCAACAGGAAATAACTTCTTTCCCGGCTATTTTCCACGTCAACATTGAACATCCAAAAGGAGATTATGAAAAATAAAAACCCTCTGAAATTGAGAATTGAAATTCTCTCTCCATATAACTTACTAATATGTTATAGTATTGAAATGAAAATTGAAATGTATAGGAGAAGCATACTTGTATAAACTCTGATCTTAAAGAACTTGAAACTTCCAGAAAAATCATTCCTATAAGTCTTATATCTCAAACAAACATGTTATATGACTTTATTCCAAGGAAACTCATTTCGAATAAGAACCCTCCTATAACTAAAACCAGTTACATTATAGAGAGATGATAATTGTGTATATCATAAAGAATGGCTGAGAGAATAACTGGACTTCAGGTTACATAAATCAAATTATGTTATCTGAAATGCAATTGACTATTCTGAAAAACATTTCACTATTCTGAAAAACAATTGACTTTTTCTAAAATGAAATGTTCTAATCTGTAATATAGACGACGGTTTTTTCCATTTGACTGAGTGTTACTACACAATAATTATCGCATGTAAAGTGAAAAAACTGTAGGATACACCATACATTAAACAAGTATTCTCCGTCCCTACCTTTCACGTTCCAAGAGCAAAAAAAATGATTCGAGTTCTATGAAAATGTTATATATTTTTGAAATGTTACAAAAATTAGGCTTTAAAAATTAAATTGATGTGTCCCCTCTATTCAACACTCTTGCCGTGCACAGTAAAATTTAGTTTGCTCAATTCCAATGTGCATGTCTAAATTTGCAACTAGAGTCTACCATGATTTGATTCTCTGACTCAGAATGAATGAATTGAGTGATATTCTGTTATGTTACTATCTCACCAACATTGCCCAATGATTTCAAAATCAACATAATAGCCCAAGAGCAGGATGCAAATTTCGACCGTAATCTGATAAGAAAATGACATGTCCCAATCACTATCCTGAGCAAAATGATGGAGAAATTGCACTTTCTTGTGCGGTAATTTGGGCGATTTCGCGATTTGATAAAGCGACAACAATCATGCCAGAATGGTAGATATCAAAACCCTACCTGTACCACAGTATAGACCCTTTTGTATACTGTGCCTGTACCACGCCGTAAGCTGAGTAAAACGATATTTCTGGTATTAACAAGTTGAAGAAAAAATTGTATAAAAGGGGATTATATCCCCTTTGCGAATATCCAAATCTTGAACCGTTCCGAAATTCCAACTGATTTAAGTTAATGGCAGAGGGTCAATATTTTCGAGAATATTTCGCCCCTGTCGAAATATAATATCCGATGAACCTGATTATCGAACCGATGGTCCATCAGATATTATCTTTCAACAAGGGCGAAATATTCTCGGAAATATTGATGCTCTGCCACGATCAGTTTGAATCGCGGCACGTTTGATGTTTGACTATTCACGAAGGAGACATTATCCACTTCAATTTGCATTTTCTTTCAACTCGATATCACGTGACGGAAGTATGTCCGGAATGACGGCAGCAAAAAAATTGCTGTGCCGAGGATTTGACTCAGATTAAGGTGTGGCACAGGTAGGGTTTTGAGATCTACCATTCAATGGGTATCAAATGACATAATTCTGATCTCGTTATCAAATCGCGAAATCTAGCGCAAATAACCGCAAAGAAAAGTGCAATGTTTCAATAATTTTGCCCAGGATAGTGATTGGCGCAGGTGCCGTTCGGTGAAATACAATGTTTCTACATGTTTCTACCTGTATGTCATTTTTTTATCAGATGATGATCGAAATTTGCAGCCGGCTCTCCAACTATAATTAGACAGATAACGCAAGTACACATCCAATCTGGTGAAAAATGCGTCTCATAACTATGCTTCACACCTTTCGAATGACACGTTTGTGCAACTAACTATGGGTCTTCGCCCCTCTGGTAACTCACCCTGTACGTTCTCTTAAAGTTAAGCTGTGCTCGAATTTTGCGGTGCGCCACTAACGGCGCTGAACACCGCCATGCTGTTGCGGCGAAAACTTCCCGTCTCGTCGTGCGGCCACAACGATTCGCCGAACAAGGTGGAGAGGGACGAACAGAGCTTCTTGTAGTTCTGTCTGAGCACCTCTTGGTATTCCTGTTGGTCTTGTGCGATCAGTTTGCTGTTTATTTGCAAGGCTGAATAGCAGATTTTCAGGAACTCTCTGGAATTGATCGAAATATTTTTTTATAAAAAAACTATTTTAATCAAGAAAACCAGTAAATTCCACAACATGGTCAAATAATTGAACTTTTTTTTTTATTACTCATTCGTTGATGGAAATCCATGGCAAATGTAAAAACGTCACAAACGATAAGATTTCCACAAAATTCTCAAACACACGACATGTTTCGCTAACACAGTAGCTTCATCAGTTGATATACTGGTACAATGAACTAAACTAACGGCTTGCCTAACTTTCATATATTCCAACCTGTAGGATTATTTACCTGGGGACAGGTTCGATAATCCTTACTTTTCGGGAATTAGACACAATATCTACATTAAAATCAGGTGTACCGGATCAACTTGAAAGGGTTGATAGCAAATACTGAGAAAACAAATTCAACAGTGGTGATCGTTAGGTAATATATCAGAAATTTCAAGTTTGTTGATATCTATAATGATTCAAAATGAGTTTTATTTCTTTCATGTTCATGAAAGTGCTGATTAAACGTACGACCTGTCTGACCGATATATACCTTAGGACAAGATCCATTGACATTTTACTTAACAATCAACTAGACCTCAATAGTTCTCCACTATTGAATTTGCTTTCTTACTTGGTAATAATATGTATTTGCTATCAACCCTTTCAAGTTAATCCGGTACATCGTATTTTAATGTAGATATTGTGCCTAATTTCCGAAAATGAAGGTTTATAGAACCTATCCACAGGTAACTAATCCTTCAGGTTGGGAAAGTAGGATATATAAAAGTTAGGCAAGCCAAGGTTAGTTTAGTTCATTGTACTGGTATATCACCTGATGAAGCTACTGTGTTAGCGAAACATGTCGTGTGTTTGAGAATTTTGTGGAAAAATCTTATCGTTTGTCAAGTTTTTACAAATAATTGAACAACAAGAATGGTAGATAAAAGAAATACAGCTACTTCTCTGGCTAATACCATCCAGAACATTGAATTACATCCTCCTGAAATACATATATTCCATTCCTTAATACCGAATTGTGTTTGAATTGTAGCCAGGTAAAGCTTAAACACCTACAAACCGTTTTTGGGCTATTGACCCTCAAACAACGATCAAAAGATCACCTTATTATGCGAATACCTAACCAAATTGCTCCAGCGTGACTTGGCAACAATGGAAGAAAAGAAATACTCCAAAAAACGAAATCCCATTGTCGCGAAAAAACTGTATGACATATCGAAGAAACCGCAATTACAAATGTAGTATTGAAGATTATTGATCTATCTATACACTTCAAATGGCACGAATTGTGCATTTTCGAAAACTGGATGTAATTTTTTTCCGTCCAAAATTATTTTCAACAGCTCCAAAAACAACTATTTGTTCCAAATCTCTATCCCTATTTGGTTCATATACTTTTGGCCTTTTCTTCTCGAATTGACCATCATCAATTAGGTTGCATCGCAATCTCGCATAAATATCTCTAAATGGTTGTCTTCTCTCTTTATACCTCTCGTGGTACAAATCGCTTGCTGCATCTGCATTTTCCCCAGTTTGTATAAAACAGACTATCATATCCCATTTTTCATAATTTTCAAACTTCATTGAAAATGTGTTTGTGAATTGAACGAAAACTACGAATTGAGGAGCGTCTTTACTGCTCTAATATTTCTTTGATCATAATTTGACAGTCCAAAGCCTACTTGTTCAAGATGTGCGTTTCAAAGTTTAGATGTGAAAACCAAAAAAGCTCTGCATTTCAAAGATGACTTCAGTAAAATACCGAGTGTGCTATATTTTTGGAATGGTAATTTCAAGCTCTATTGAAATATGCAGAAATATACAGGGTGTCCCATTTGAAAAAAATATTTTTCCGTTATTAACTATTGATATATACTTTGAAAAAATAAATTACTTATACCATTGAATCCTACGTGAAAAAGTGCTTTGGAAATGTTTTCATAGAAACAACAAATTTTTGACAGGAAAAAAGTTACAGCAAGTTTTCGAAAATGCACATTTTCGGAAAACATGCTGTATCAGAAACGATGATAGATATCGTTGTGCGGTTTTCACTATTGAGTTTGTTATAAAAATTGACCATCAGACACCGACATCAGTTTTCGTCCATCTAGTTTGGAAATAGGACTTTCCCTTTGAAAGTGTCCAATTTGGCCCACCCTGTACAGAGATGGTGGAAGAATTTTGGTATCTTTCGAAATGACAGCCACAGCATAACCTCAAAAAACTTAAAACAACATATTGGATCTGAATGCTGTTTGCCGTTTGCCTAAGAAAAAATATGAATGAATTTATCCAGATCAGTCTAGAATATGAAAATAAAAGAATAGCTGCATTATTGACACCAACAGAAATTGAAGAAAAGTGGTAGGTACATTTTCCTTTCCCATCATAAATTTCAAGAACTTGTGACATTGTCCACATAGTAAACTGTCGTGGAGATGATTTTGAGTTTTATTTAGTTATTATTCAGGAAATTTGTGCAAACATTCAGAAAATTTTAGTACCAACGAAGACTATATCCATATCATTATAATGTAATGCAATTTTTCGTATATAGGTTGCTGAGAATTTTCAACCTATCTCTTCTTCTCCTCAACATAAACATTATTTCATCCTCGGAACTATCAGAAGAACTGCTAGAACTTCTGGATCAGGAGACAAGGACACAGTTGTGATTGTCATATCAAATAACTGCGTTTTATTTTCAACACGGATGACTCCAACAATTCGGTGCATCAGAGAGTGACGTCACTTCATTCAATGATGAAAATGTTGTGTAAAAAAGAACAAACCTATCAACAGCTAGTGGATATCAAATGACAGACAATAAAAAAGTATACAAGGAAAAAACACCATGATGCATATACTAGATGATATAATAATTACCATAAACTTAAGTTTGATAGTTATAGCAATTCTTCAAACATTTGAAGCATGAAGGATATTCTTGAGGGTTACAATTAAAAAAATATAAGTGTCGGACCAACCAGAGGGTGTTTCTATTTTCTATAGCTTTGAGACAACCAGTGAGGAAAAATGAGTAAGTCCACACATATGAAATGAATCAGTATTTAGTTTAGGACTTTGTCCATGATTCCTCTTTGATTTGATGATAATTTAATGAATGTATTTATAGTTTGAACGTACCCTCGTACCCCTTCGATTATTAGAGTAGGAATTGAGTACATTCAGTAGAGAATATCTTTCAATAAAATACAGGTCTCCCTTATTCAATTAAAACTGTGGAACATTATTTTTATCTAAGTTGGCTTTATTTTGATATCAACAATTTTTTGAGTACATGACATGTCTTAAAAAATTCATGTACGAGACAAGTTTCCCGCAATTAATTAATGCACGAGGAGGGTTCGGTAAGAGAATGTTATACCGGAATTATATTTGAAAAGAAAAATCAAGTGATTATTTAATCTCCCTGTACCCTAGTAAAATGAAATTAATAGTATCAGATACATTATAATATAAAAATAATTGATTTCATATGATTTTCTTACTACGTTTCCGGAAAATAGTCTAGATTATTTAAATTTTTTCTAATTATATGATAGTTGTCATTTACTAGAAAATTTCCAAAAAATGTGCTGGTTACCATAGTAACAATGTCGAAATAAAGCATCTGATGGGTTGAAAGTGACTGGTATGAAATTGTCTGTCAAATCTTCATGAATCATAAGTGACGTTACTTGTAGAAATACGGTTTGAACACAAGCATTTCGGAACAGTTTTATTGCCACAGAAATAGAAACTGTGATAGGTACACCTTAATCAGTTTCCTGTATTTAAGTTAACTTATTTCACTCAGCTAAGTTACGTGTACTCACCTGAAAATATCCTTCAATTCTTCCACCTTATCTTCAGGATACATACTGCAAAGTGCCGGATCCAAGAAGACGCTAGCATACGCGAGCGGTCCAGCATTAACTTGCACGCAAACGCTACCCTGTAATCTGAGTTGCAGTTTTTTCGCGTCCGTCGGTTGGGAGAAAACCACATCTTCCAGTTCCGCTACGCGTGTCTGCATCTCGTCTATGGCAACTTCGATGGGGCTCAACTCTGTTATTCGTTTCGATTTCACTACGATCCGTTTTTTCACGTATGGAAATGAGTATGATGCTGGGAAATTATACAATGAATCAATGAACATCAAGAACTGCAGAACTTGTAGTGTGAAGGTGCATGAACCCCATTGAGTAGTAGCATATTGAAAAATAGTATATTACGTAATATGTGTTGTGAGAATATTACGCACCAGTGCGTAATTGCTTCACCTACTCCCATATAGTACATCAAGAAAGTTTGAACAAACAGTCTGAATTATAATTCTTGACAGTTATGTCATCCGCTGTTGACGGCGATTATGCGATCATGACATACCTATACTGGCGGAATATACGAAAACTGTGCGATGTGCTAACTGTGCGTAACGAGCTACTTACTGAGGCTGTATCTCGTGTTCTTGCCTACTTTCTATAGTGGCCGTAGGTGAAGTTTATTATTAAAGTATTGAAAATAGCCATTTTCCCTCGAAGCGTATTCCAAACTATGACGTAAAAGTTAACCAACCTCACAAACCAGCTCACTGAGATAGTTCATGGAGTAGTTTGAGGCATCTGATTGGATTGGGCACTATAGATTGAGCTCTCATTTTTGTTGTGATAGTCTGAGGTTATGATTGATAAAATATAAAATATGAATCCTTCTCAATGAGATAATTATGGATTCATACGAAGTATTTGTGAATGATCTTAAATCTTATGATATTATCAACGTACACGAAATAAAAGATTTATTGAAAATAGGTATGTAGCTAATTGATAACATTATCTTGTATCCGATATAGTTGAGTACTAATAACAACACCGGGCATCTGTCAAGCTTCACAAGTAAACCGTGACGTAATAAGAAAATACCGTGACGTCATAATGATGTTAACCTGGTTTGCCGAGGAAAAATGACTAATGATAAACCTATCTTCCAATTTTTAATTCAGTCCTATCCATTGTATTGAAGAAAACAAAAGTACTTCCACCATCATCTTGATCAACTAAACATAAAGGGACTCCAGCAAAGCTATTCAAATAATCAGATATTTTGTGAATTGACTGAAAACTTCCTTGACAATATGTTGTTACTACATATTCTGTGCTAGTGATCAATTCAGTAAACATACCTCAGATTGTCAGATGTCAACAATTTCATTTTGTATATACATGAGTAACATCAATTCTGAGCTTTCAAATTGTCATCACCCTATATAAAGCAAACCGGACATTTTATCAGAGGAAATCATATGAATCCTCTTGTTGATGTTCAAGATCCATAGTGTGTCAAATAATTGACCAATTCTAGCCGTTTGTTTACAAGTTTTCAGTGATTGAGTAAAAATCGAAATTCTGATTTTTTCAATATATGCACATTCCCATGAATAATATCTTGTCATGATGGAATGCAATACCCTGTATGTGATATTATTATTTATTCGAATAGAAGAATTCATGAGGTAGAAATTGAGGTGGAGCGTTTATTTTTACTGGAGATTTATCCCGACACAGAGCACATAATTCAAATCGATGCAAAATATTGTCAGCCAAAATCAAATGATTGACAGCCTGTAACTCGAAAACTGGTCATAGGATCGATCTGTTATAAGGACGCTAATATTGGAAACAACATTTTCTAAAAAATTAGCCGAAAGCCATTTTCCGTACTAAATGTACGGGGTCCTTTGTAACAAACATTATTGTAGTAGGGAAATACATTCATTATTCACATTCACATCAATTATTTTGATGTGATTGCAAGGTACCTATGTTTTGTGAAGATTTTTTCAACTCATTGACCAGCAACGTAATATCATCCTATATATTTCCCTTACAAATATACCGCTCAGGTTTCGCTATAGTGGTGCAAAAATTGCTGTTCACTCACTTGTAAGTATAGTTCTTCTTTTCCATTGTTCTTCAGGGTTACCTCTGCTCTTGCCATCTTTTGTGAAAGGCGTTTCAAACATAAAACAATTTATATCATGGTTTTGTTCAAATTCAGTCTGTCTCTCCTCCAATTCACATTTCTCAAAGTAAGGTGTTACATGAGTAACTTGTATGTAAGCCAGTTTTGTATCCAACTCGGACTGATTCACCTGAAGATATTTTCATTATAGTAACATTATATATTTTTTTGATACGACTATTTACCGGTGATGAATCTTGAATCATTTTGACAACATCTTGTCCAAATTTGTCACAATACTGTTTATACAACCTCTCAGAAATCTCACTCAATGATGTTACTTTCGGTTCTTTGTACACATACTCCAGACTATTATCCTCTTCAAAATAGGCTTGGCCATAAAATGCAACCCTATAGTACCTCCCTAACAATCTCTTGCCGCTCTTATTGGTAACTACGACTTTTTCGTAATTATCAGCCAGAGCATTGTACGATTTCCTCAGCATATCATAGTTCCTCTTTTTTTCATACATGGGAATTATTAGCTTGTATAGTTCACCCAGGATCTCGTATCTTTCAGCTTTGTTTATGAATTCTGCACAAGTTTCTAGTTGTTCTAGCAGAATGAATTCGGTGTATTGAATATCTTGAACACCAGTGTCGAGCTTTAGGCCCTTTTCATCTCTGGGAATGTTCGATGAGATAGTTTCGAACATTTCTGCACCCCACTTTTGGATTTTTTTGAGTTTCAAGTATTCTGCCATCAGGGCGGCAATGTGAAGTTGACAACAGGCAGCCTAAAATTAGTTAAAATAATATATTGCATAGAAAACTTACGAGGATGATTTAGAGGGGTACTTGGTTGATTTTACTATACGTGGGCTATTTCATTAGCAAATCAGTAAATTAGTTAATAATGTCTCAGATGTTTCAAATTTAAATATTCATCAACTATTTATCAATAATTATCAAATATCAGTAAAGTCAAAATTGTATCAGTATCTACTGGGTGTCCCAACTGTATTTGTACAAGCATTTTATCGAAAACGGGTAATATCATCAACATTTGGTTTAAATGAGAAAGTGCACAACAATTTGTCATTAAAACAACTCGTCGACAAACCTTCCCTTAGCACATACCACTGACTTTTTTTTTAAATTCACCCCTATTATTGTGGTATGCTTCAGTAGCTTATTAGCTCACACTCTTCATGAATAAGACCTAGATAATGTCAGATCAACAACTCAATAGCATATCATATCCACCATTATCATAAATCTAAAGGCGGATTCAGACGACTGATGTACCTACTAGTCATCTGAATAATAAGTTTGGGGAAAACTGGACAGATGAATATTTGCCCTATACGATGGCCAGCATGATCCTCAGATTTTTTTCAGTGGGATCATTTGAAACAAGAAAAGTAGGTACCCTACGAAGCCTAACAATATCGCTGGGCTACAAAAAAACCATTCAAGCATGCCACGAAACATTACCACAGGCAATTGCAGCAGCTTGTACAAGGGAGGTTCTGCGAAGGTGTAGACACTGTGGACTGTTTCAGTAGGTAAAAGGTATCCAATTCAAACATCTTGTTGGATTCAGATGTATTATTCAATCAATTTTGTGGTCTTTGCTACATAATCAAATAAATACTCGTTGAAAATGCATAATGTCCCCCTTCTCTTTTGAACTTGTTACGATACAAAATTATGTCAAGTGTAATAATATTACTGTGTTCGTGAGCTCACAAGCTATTCAAACATACCACAAGAATAAGAGGATGTGATTTGAAAAAAAAACAAGGGGTGTGTGCTAAGGGGTGGTTTGTCGGGTGACTGTTTTAATAACTAATTTTACATCAGTCGTCAAATTCAGCCTTCAGATTTATGATTATGGTGGATGGACTTCCTCATATGATATGTTGTTGATTCGACATTATCTAGGGCGTATTCATTGTGTTCGTACGCTAATAAGCTACTCAAACGTACCACAATAATAGGGTGTAATTTGAAAAAAAAGTTCCTCATTTGAGCCAGTTTTTTCAGAACATTGATAGTGTCCCCCGTTTTCGAGAAAATGCGTGTATAAATAGAGTTGGGACACTCGGTATATGTTGAAAAGTGTTAAGTGTTATTAAAAAAAACTCATGTTCTTGTATCACAAATCATTTCTGCCAACATTGTTCCACACCACCTGTGGCTATTGTAATTTCATTATTACAGGATTTATCTATCTACCAAATAATGTCTAGCGTAAAAGAGATGACAGAATATACTAGATTGAAAACTGGCTACATGATTTTCAACGTGACTAGGTAAGATAATTTTTATATGGAAACCGAGTTCATCAATTGGCAGACCATTTTCCGGAAGTTAATGTGCCGGAAGATAACGTCGAAGTTGTGAAAATATCGAAAATTTACGAGATATGGTGAAATTCTGAAAGGGAGTGTATATATCGTTCATAAATCTACAAGCTGAACCAAATTCTTTTTTAAAAGAGATACTTTCTTGTAGCTTTCCTGTGCCTTTCACGTGGCAAATGCAACGAATTAGTAATAGTTTATTTTTACAAGTAAATCGCCAAGTTTGAATATTTGAAATTTCAATTTTTAAGTTTTTTTGACGTTCAATTCATTTTTTACGACGCCCATCTCGCCAAATTACACAAGTCAAAGTTAATCAATCCGAACCCTTTCATTTCATAGGAAAGTACAAAAAACTTCATAGTGCGCCATATTGAATTTAGAGTGATGTCACATTATTTCTAATTATTTTCGGCAAGTCCTTCCATTTGATACCCATATTGTAGAAGTGCATAAATAATAACTATTCCGCCATCTTGGATGGTCCGCCATATTCGCTTTAGAATGACGTCACATTATTTTTCGAGTTACTCTCAACAAGCCCTTTCATTTGCTACCCACATTGTAGAAGTGCATTACAAATAACTATTCCGCCATCTTGGATAGTCAGCTATATTGGATTTAGAATGACGTCACATTATTTTTCATGTTGCTCTCAACGAGCCCTTTCATTCGATTCCAATATTGTAGAAGTGCATTAGAAATAACTATTCCGACATCTTGGATGGTCCGCCATATTGGATTTAAAATAACTTCACACACCTTATCGGGCATTGTCATCCAAACTAAACGTGTACACAAAATTTCAGCTCAATCGGTTGAAGATATCTACTTCGAAATTGAGTTCAAAGATTGCACACGAACAAAAAATATACTTACACATACATTTATTTATTTATTTATTTATTTCAGTTATTGAATTAAAGCTTTTAAAATTTAAAAACATATATAATGCTATATTATGTAATTATTGATGAATATGCAATAACAAATTTCGTTGCTGCCTGACAGTTTCATCTGCTTGGAGCTTTCCAGATTACATGTAATAGGCCGCTGACCCTAGACAAAAAATTGGACAAAGTTCGCATCAATTCGCACATTACTTTTTTTCTGCATGTTGTCAGTCTATGTCTCAATAGTATTAAACTGAGTTTGCAGCTTCGAAAGACCTAGGTTAAAATTGATGTGCTCTAAATACCTCGAAATTTCTTCTTAAACTTCCTCTTAGGATGAGTATTAGAGCCGATATTTTGCTCAGAAGCGTGCCAAAATTGCAATTTTCAAGTTTTGAAAAAAATAGCAACTTTTTGAAGTACTGTATCAGACCCACAAAAATAAAATTAAACTCAAATTGTCGAGAATTTTTTCAGTTTTATAAAAGGTCTGATTGACTTTTTCTTTAGGAACCCGCCTTCTAGGACTTTTGGGCTAAAAACCGAAATTGGTCAAGACATTTCGAGGTTTTTCGAGTACCACCCTTTTAGCCTAGGTCTTTCGAAGCTGCAAAGTTCATTTTATACTATTGGGACATAGCATAACGTGGCCTAACAACATGCAGAAAAAAAAGAATGTGCGTATGAATGCGAACTAGGGTGTCTAAAGTGAGCGACCTATAAGTGCTGTGAATACATGAGTTCCTACCTCTGAAAAATTTCCATCTCGAACATGATGTCTTGTTGTAGTTTCTAACCAGGTATGTCTCAATTCCGGAGTGGAAGCATAAGAATTGGCGAGGCTATGTTGCAAATCGACCAACATTTCTGGATCGTGATGATGTTCCCTCATCTGCACTGTTGCCATGAGAACGGTTCGTACACGTTTTGTTAAATCTTTCACTTCAACGGGAAATCCTGAGAAATACGTATTCCTTCGATTCAATAGAATAATACTTTCGCTTATGACAGTTCATATACCGGGTGTCCCAGATCCTTTCATACAGCCAATATCTCAGTTATGTAGTTTGTCAAACCCAAAGCCAAAGCGTCAATGTCAACTTCTGTGAAGCTACCCCTGAGAAGGTATGTCATTGAAAAAATTGCTAATTTTATAATACAACCGCTTTGTCATATAATTAATACTTCCTTTGAACAGGGAGTTTTCCCTCATGAACTGAAGGTCTCGATTGTCTCTCCTATTTTGAAAAAGGGTGCTGCTGAAATGATGTCGAACTACCGTCCAATCTCCGTATCACCAGTTTTGTCAAAAATATTTGAGTATGCCATGCTGAAGCAGATGTTGAAATTTTTAGAAATTCATAAAGTAATAACTGATCATCAACATGGTTTTCGAGCAACATTTTCAACTTCAACAGCTTTGGAATCGTTCTATAATGAAGTTCTGAATTTGGTCAACCAGGGCGAAAGCCCGATTGGGATATTTTGTGATCTCAGTCGGGCTTTTGACTGTGTTCAACACAATATTTTGAAAGACAAGCTTTATAAATACGGTATGAGGGGCAAAGCTTACGAGTGGTTATCTTTGTACCTAGATAACAGGTTACAATCTGTCAAGATTATCGATAAAGGAAATAAATATATGTCTGATCTTATGGTAAATTCACAAGGAGTTCCACAGGGATCCATTCTTGGGCCCCTGTTATTTATCCTTTACATAAATGAGTTACCTTCTGTTGTACCAGAGTCTTTTACCACTCTTTATGCAGATGATTCAACATTTTTGTTTAGTGAAAAAGACTCAAACATTTCAATTATGAATGCTTTGTTGAAATTTTCTGCCTGGTCTAGTGATCAATCCTTGTTGTTTAATACAACTAAAACGAATTTTTTATCATTTCATCCTCGCCAAAAAACTTGTATCCCTAACTTTGATATATTGGTTAACGACTCAAACATAACAAGAAAAGAAAATGTGAAATTTCTGGGTGTATTATTTGATTCAGATTTGTGCAAAGCACACTGTTTGAATCTATCCAAGATGTTGAACTCCAAATGTTTTCAAATCAGAAATTTTAGAAAAACACTCAATATAAATCACATTCGTTCACTTTACTTTAGTGAAATACAGTCTAGGATCAGTTATGGAATTGGTATTATAACTTTATTATTATTATTATTATTATGTATTTCAAACATCTCATTTGTAGATTCATGTCGACCTGTTTTCATCAACTTGAGAATTTTAACTATTTATGGCATTTATATATTGGATTTAATCACATCAGTTCATAGAAATAAAACGATTATTTACGAAATAGTGATATTCATGCTCATGACACAAGATATAAATCAGACTTCTCTATACCTTACCAGCGAATAGAAATCTGTAAGAAATCACCTAGAGTAATGGGAATTAAACTACAACTGTCTTCCACAATGTTTTAAAGATATTGCCTTGGTGCATAAATTATCTCATTGACATGTGTCCATACTCGGTTGAAGAATATTTTGAAAATAATCGTTGAATTATCTGTTCTAGTTTTGTATTATGTGATTGTATATTGTATTTATTGACCTATATTACTGGCCAATTTTAGTATTTTAAGGTAAATGCTCTAGTTTCGGCTAGACTTTTCAATTTTAATTTGTTCTTCTTGGCCTTTCTTATGTCATTATTTGATATGAGATCAATAAATTCTATTCTATTCTATAGAAGCCACCAACTTCAATTATTCAAGTTACACCTTATATATTTTTTTGTTGATTTGTAAAGCGCAGTCAATTCTAATTCAACGATATATCACACTTGATATTTTGACTAACGTAATACTACCAAAATTAGAAAAATCGAAGGAAACAGTAGCAGGTGTAGATCATTTCTTTTGTTATGTTTTTTGAAAGTTGCTCGTCTTTTAGTCAGTTTATAGGTTCATTAAACTAAGACAATGCCTTTTTATGTTTACACCAGATGAGTTTTCTGTCAATTGGACATCAGTCGAATTATCAAGTATGATACATCGTTGAAGTTAGAATTGATTGCACTTCACAAAGCAACAAGAACGTTTATAAGGTGTAACTTGAATAATTGAAGTTTGGGGGTGACTTTTCAGGGGTAGTTTGACGGAAGTTGACTTAGACACAATGACTTCAAAGTCATTTGGGTTCGACAAGAGTGTAATTTTTTCAATTTCTCCCAAGCAGCATAACTGAGACATTGGCTGTATGAAAAAATATGGGACACCCGTTTGTTCATGTTACCGTTCTTGGCGTGTATCTGCAATACTTCCAATTTCTCTCCTTTCAGGTTGTATTATCAAAGTTTTTACTCTATCATAGGTACAAATTTGTTTGATGATGGCCGTCATGCCGAAACCGGTAACATTTGTTTGAAGTTTATTATATAAAGTGTGGTAGACTGACTTTGGGTTTTGCTTTTTTTCTTATGGAAATACCAATTTGAGTAATTGATGATTCATTTGTATAAACTCACCTGTTCCTTTCATTGCTTTGTCACTAGAAGCATAGCTGTTGATCAAAGACAAACTCTCTTGAAACCTAGCGTTATTCAAACCCACTATATTGCCAAGCATTTGTGATACTGATATTATAACTTGAAGGTGTACTCTAGTCAAGCCTTTGCGGCTGGTAAATTCGAAATTACTTCTCATCAGAAGATACAATATTGCACACGATTCTTGTCTTATGGAGGGCAAGCGACTGTTACAACATTTCAACAGTTCATAACATAATCTTCCACACAAAACCGCATTTCCTGAAACAAAGTAACTTCAATCATTCCTGATGAACGGTTTTTCCAAAAAAGTTGTTTTCGATTTTATTGTTTGTCATTTAGTCAACTGAAATTGTCGTGAATTTTACTATGATGATGAATCCAGGTTTAAATGCTTGAGATAAAATAATGGTTCCATGTGCAGTAAGCAAGTGTAAAAACTTCAACTCACCTTGAAACAATATTGACGAGAAATTATTGATAAATGACCTCAAAGCACCAAAAACATGCTTGAACAAAGATTCACTTTGCCCAATCTGTATAAAACCAAGATAAATATCGAATATTTTCTTCAGTACTTCACTCTCTCCATCTGAGCTCATTAATTTTTTTCTAAAATGCATACAATACAGTCCCATGCAATCCAAAATTATGAGACCAACTTCAATAGCAAGATGTTGCTCTAGAATCAATTGTTGTTTTTTGTGCATCTCATTCTCTGAAATAGAAGAACAAGACTTCAGTAATTCAAAATCAATCAATGCTGCAAAGGAATCATGAAAACATTTTCAGTTCGTCGCATAACAAAATGGAAGATGATTATGAGTTATAACTATAATATCATAAATGAAAAGTGAGGTTAGAACGTACTCCGTACCCAAGATCCCTAAATCAGTAAAAGGATCTGCCACCATACCTATACTCGGTGCTTATTCCAGATGTTCTCTGGGAACACAAAAGCATAATACAAAGGTGAGAAATTTCAATCACAACTATCATTTATAGACATTCATAATGATTATTCATTATACAGGGAAAAAAGTAGTACGCTACCCGTCGGGAGACAACACAACCTGGAGCTAAAATCTAATATTTTTCTGTGACAGGATAAACGACGATTTAATATTGAGAAGATATTACATTAAATTAAAATCAGACAATTATCGTTGCAGGCATCTTTATCATCCTTTTGAAGTAATCAAATATCTGTCAGTCTAATTCTGTTATTCGATTTCAAAAAAATTTGAATCTAGTGGTTGTTTAGTGATTTACGTGACCGCGAAGTCGAATGGACGATGAAAGTACTTGCAATTCTTTCTCGGAGACGGTGATATTGGCTTATTTTTCGAAATTATAGCACAACAAAAGCGTATATATATGTAATATATATCTGGCAAAAAAAGTACTCACTTTTTTCCCGTGAGAAAAAAATAATTTATGAAAAGTGACATTTTATGACCTGTCAACAAAGATGAAATTTAAACTTTTTTCCTGTCACAGAAAAAACACACTTTGTCACTGTGTGCACTTGTGCAGATAGAGTATGTGAAATATTCAATATCTTCCAAGCAAAAAATATCAAAAATATTATAACACGCCGATTTTATTTTTCGAATAGGCATTTTCAAGTACTATATGTGTAGAGGGAGATCCTCAGTTGTGTAAATTTGATTTGTTCGAAGACACTTTTCCGTCATATTCATTGGGGCAAAATCAGTCTTTCTCTAATACCTTCATAGTCGTTCGGCGTAACCCCCTCTCTAATCAGATAAAGAATAATATCTCAGCTATCCTAGTTAGTAATACTGCCAATTATATTTCAAAATTAATGAGGATCACTTATTATATGTACGATAGATTGAAAAAGTTAGTAAATCAAAAAAATTGGAGTGTCTATCTCAAAATGATTTTAGTTAGGGAAGTAGACTGATAGCTGACTAACTGACTCACTGACAGATGCAAGATATAATCAGAATATAATTTATTGTCTTGATAGAATTTCCCTGTATAAGAACAGTACAATTAATCCATCGAATGTACAAATGATAGGAAGAATATATAAAAAAGTACTGATTGTACAGTAAAGAAAGTGCAGGATACAGCAATGGTTTTCAAATCGCCACTGCTCAAGTGAGGTAGGGCTATGCGGCGGATGACACAAAATTATGCTCCATAAACTGAATATCAAGGTTTTTGTATAAGTCTAATCAATTGAAGAAAATAAGGCAATATGGTTAGAATTTTGAGGCATTGAAATATTTTGTTGTTTGTTTCGAGGTTGAATAGCCGTTTTGCCAAGCCCATAATATTTTATAGTGGTAGCAAGTCAACTTGCTTTTTATCAACTCAATCTATTCATATTTCCATTTCCAATACACCTACTATTCTGAATTAAATATCACTGATATTTGAACTAGTGAACTGTTTGGCAGCACTTGTCAAATTGAAGAATTGAACATCCAAATGTGTTATCCGTGTTGGTGTAGAAAAATTCTGTATTTCATACACCCACATTGTCACACTTGTTCTACTGTTCAATTCGCCAGTCGTACTCCAAACATCACATGGGACAATAATAATATACTATTTTTGTTTAGATGCTTATAATGTTACTCAAAAAGCCTTCAATACCTAATATTGCACTATCTATTTCCAACATAATCAGTAAAAAATTAAAATCAAAAGATGATCTGGGAGAGGCTCTCTTTTCGGAAGAAATTGTTTTTGAAGTATTGTTTGCTGAAGATTAGTGCTGATCTTTAGAATTGATGGAATTGATGTATTTTCAATACTAACCAGTATGAACTAAGTTCTCCCTTGTAGTATGTATGACTAAAGTACTTGTATTGTCATGGTTGATTTCCGAAGGATTCATTCTTGCAGGTAGAGTGTGCGCCTTTTTCGATTTGGTCTTCACATTATCGCCATCGTTTACCTTGATAGCAGCTAAATTCCTCTTCCCCACATACTTGAAAGAATGCAGACATATCTCCATGATGGAAAAAAAGTTGTACACATCCGAATCACCGTAATGTTGCCACCACATCACCAGCTGTTCCTCGTTCAGATATTTAACGACGAACATGAATATCAAGAGAATATCTTTGGCTTCCTGAGGTTGTAATTTGTCGTATCGTTGAACGTGCGAGGTTGATCTGGCGTGTGTTTTGTGATCGCCGTTCCTCAAACTTTCGTCCCGGATTATTGTGGTATCTTGGGAGACTGTGGAAGGGGCATCTCCCGACATCGTAGATATGTCAGAATCGATGCTCATCGAATTGCCATTGACTAGAGCTGAAATGTATGGGAATGTTTTCAATGCGTTTGCACAGTAGAAAATTCATCCGTGTTAAATGAGTAGTGTTCGGTGTTAACTTTTTAGAGTTGAAATTTAGAGTGATTTTACACTGTGATCAAACACTTCGAATGTCTAGTGTTGCCTAGCACGTTATTAACACTTTGTCAACACGCTAGTGTTAGCCAGTGTTAATCTTAAGTATACTGTAACAAAGTGGAATTAACATAATAGATTCTCGTTGTTAGTATACGAATCAAGTAGTAAAATTAGAATTTATTACAACACGGAGATTCTCATTGTCTACAGATATACAACTAAATATTCACTCCTAGGGCAAAACAGCTTCATTATAGGAATATCGATTTCATTTCTGCACATTGATGATATTGAGGATAATAACTGTGATTATTACAGAGTATGACTCCTGTACACGAGCAATGCTACCGATATTGAAGATGGTTGATATATATAGCTCCTCAATATCAACCTCTAAAACTGGAAGATGCCTGAAGTTACGAGGATTCACTGATTGTCTTCAAAGAGGTATATTCAAGTTTCGGAATTAATTCATTACATAACGAGTGTATTTTATTTGCAGTAAAATCAGCCCCTTAGTGAGGTTTGTATGAAACCGATAGACTTGTCAACCCTTCTTGCTGACCCAAGATATTGAAGTGATAGAACATGTTCATATTTGCTCAATGCAGACCTTTAATTCAAATAATGTGTAATGAATGAATACCAAATTTAAATACTCCACTGTTATGTATGCACAATTAATTGAATACATCATTATTCAATAAGTCATAGTGTATTTTGAAGAAGAAATCACAATACTATAGTAACTCTAGAATGTGTTATTGTACACTAAATATTGACTCTACTAGTGTTAGACTTCACCCTGAAAGTGTTACCGATTTCCATTGGTTAACACTAGTAAAGTTCTTATGTTCTACCTATCAAGTGTAAACTTAATACTGTTATTCACACTAGCTCCGAGTTTTGGAATTCAACACTATTAAGAGGGACCTGTATAAACTTTAGCGTGTGTTGAATAGTGTTGAATATTAACACTGTATTTCTTAGTGTGCGGAAAGTGGGGTCGTAATATTGTCATTTTCACGACTTCAACTACAGGGTTTCTAAATATCGTAGCATCGCAGTGGCCGTTGAAATAGTGCTGCTCTTTGCTGATGTTGTTTACAGGCATTGAAGCGACCGAATGTTTTATAGTTTGATCTCCACAAATGGAAAGCGGAAAATCAATAAAATATTTCAACGGTCACTACGATCATTTATAGAGACCCTGTGTTACACCAATGAGCTGCATCTATACAGGGTGACTTATTAAGATTGGGCAATTTATGAGATACAGATAGTAAACACCAAGATATTGAGATTTAACCTAACATGCCCTATCAAATTTTTGCTGGCTAGAATGATACACCAAGAAATGTACAGGTTCATGTTTCAATGTTTCGTGCAATGAAACAAAAAAGTAAATCAACATTTTCTTCTGAAGTGCTGAATAAAATCACTCACACACCTAATTTGAATAGTTCAAAACTAAAAAAATCTATAAGGGTGACAACCTTATCTAAACTATCTAACCTAACTCGGCCTAAATGAATCTTATTCCTAGAAATAATTTAGGAGAAAAACTAACTGAATAGTTTGGAAATGATCTTTAGTTAAATCGAGCCAGGTAGCCGCGTGGTAGAAGCGTTAGTATTCGTTTTAAAATTTAGTTATAATGAACTGTTGTGACTGCATTGATTTCCTCAACGTGCATCTGCAGATAGCATTATTAAACCAAACAAAATAACTACTTTCAAGTGATTGGGAGATAGCCCATAATATTTTAAGAGTAGAAGGCTAGAAGAATACTCCAAATGTACAGGGTCATGTTTCGTGCAATGAATCGAAAAAAGTAAATCAACATATTCTTCAAGAGTATCAAATATCAAGAATCTCAATATTGGAAAATTTCTCATTGTATTATGGAATTGGTCATTGTACTTGTACTCACATTGACCAGCGATCGCTTCATAAAAAGCGGAGTTTCTCAAGTGCATCGGGCTGTCTTTGTCGAAATGCAAAGTGAACCTGTGACTCCTGGGCGTGCTTTCGCTAGCCGTTGAACTCTTCCCGAACAAATAAGAACTGCTAGACGAAATCCTATTGATAACACTGTCATTGGCATCATCTTCGTTCTCCCCCTTCGTGTCCAATCGGCTGAGGTTCTCCAAAACGATACTCAGCCAAGGCAGGTAGATCAGCGCTATCCTATGCATCTGACCCTTACTCTTATACCTATCGTCTAATTCGTGTTTCGCTATGAGGTTCTTCAAAGTGTTCAAGGCAATTTTTCTGATATGCGTTACTTCGTTGAGAGAAGTCTTAATTTCTTGTAGGAGCAAGCCGACTATGAAATGGTGTTTGCAGAATTCGTCGGAAAGGGTGAACTCTTGATAAATATCAGGCGATCGGTTTCTAGGGCTGAGCTTGGTGTGTTGGATAGGTAGGTTGATGGATATGTAGTGTTCGTGGCTACATATTATTTCTAGAAAGTTGAATTTGTATTCCTGTAGGAGTCTTGGGTCGCCTGGGTTGAATTTGTCCATGTAGGAGTTGATCAATTTGAATACGAAGCCTCGATCAGTAAGAGACAAGCATTTCTATAATGAAGACAGAAAAAAAAATGATCAGAGACATCTCCAAGACATTCAATAACTTGGTTTATGTCATGAAGAGGAATAAAATTCGGTCCATCATCAACTGATGTACTTCCATTAAGTTGGAAAAAGCGAAAGATGTTGGATTAAAAGTATATTTCTATTGATAAAGTTCTTGAATTACGATTGGAAATTATTTTTTCTGTCTCATCGAGTTCAAAATAGATAAAAAGATAGATTTTGACCTCGTGTATTTCCAGGACTTGTTACCACAGATAATCATTTATATAGAGGACTTTCAACCATTTGGTAATATAAAAAAAAATCTTTTATTTTATTCAGTAAAGGGCCTTGTTTTAAAATGGTGATACCTTAAAAATGTTCAATGTGATCAACATATTTTTCCTTCATCTTCATGTTAAGCAAAACATAAAAATTTAAAACAAGTTCCAGTTTACACAAATTGTTGTAGGGCGTTTCAATTATATCGGCTGAGGATGAACTTCTCATAAGTCTGAAACATCCCTCTGTAAAACAAGCCATTACTGGTCTTTCATAATCATGGAAGTTCTATTTTGAGCATATTGAAAAATCAGTTGAAGAACGGATTGATTCATTGTAGATGGAGTTCAGAAATCCGAGGTATGATATATTTTTTTCGAAAACGAAGCGAGACATTGTAATCATGAAAACCGCTAAAAAATCATAGGCTGTTTTTTTTGCCAACTGGGTCGCTGAGTATGTTCCTGGAAATCCTGGATCACATCTAATCCGTCCAGTAGATGTATAATAATTGTTCAAATAGACCTATTAATCTCTGATCAATGATTGAAAAAGTTCCAGGATAATTTTGAAGATCAATATCTTCCTAAATGATGGTTATCGATAAAAATGTATTATATAACTCAGTTTTGTTTATTCATCTTCTATTACCAGTTTTATTTATCGCCCCAATTCGAAAACACCCTGTATATCATAGGTACCTTTTCGGAATTGTGATAATAAGAGAACACCACTTACTTTCAAAAAATGAGCCATACTCTTGTTCAGTTCTTTAGTTTCTAAAGGCATCTCTTTGTATTTACTAAGGACATACGGTACCAACACCTGCACCAAATGATCTATCCTCTCCTGATACTCTGTGGAAAATCTTTCATGCCGATGCATCTACAACACAGAACATTACACTCTAACCAATACAATACGATATTCAAGAAGCTCAAAATCCTAACCTTTATTCTTCCTGAAGACAACAAATGCTGGGCCATACCTTTGATTATGATCTCAAAAAAGAAATCAGAATGATGCATGAACTTGTTCACGACCAAGAAGTCGGTATTATTCGGATGTAGGATAATAGGCAAATACTTGCACATCTCTTCATGTACAGTGGTATTTTTTTTGCTATCCGGTGAAATGAAAACATATTTGATATACGCCTGGAGGATTTCCTTACGATTCACGTTGTATATCATATCGACCAAGTTTATCAACACCTTGATGATGTTCAATCCAATTTCCTCGCTAGTTGTCACTACCAGGAGGCCAAAAAGTTGGTTGAAAAGGGTCGGCAAGAAAGAAATGAGAGTTGTCAAATGTATGGCGTGGAGGGCTTTCACTATTTTGCACGTTTCACTTTCTGATGGCAAGGATGAAGGTTTGGGGTCTAGTAATCTTTCTGCGTGGCTGAAGAGGTTATACAAATGTTGGTCTTTGGTATTTATGGTCGAGACCAAGTTGAAATCTATGGTAAATATCGGTTTCTGGCCATCAATCCAATTTATGTCTGGTCCAGCATTCTGAAAATCATGAATATTATTTTTAAAAGTATTTCTTATGCAGGGTCTTCAACAATGATTGAGAGCCACGTGAAAGATTACTCTGCAACCAAGAATACATTCGTATCTCTTTAGCATGAATGAAAAAGAAACGCCGCATCAAAAATGGTGACGTGGCACCCAATCAGTGTTGAAGTCCCGTAAGTTAACATATTCTAAATTGACCCTAGGCGGCAAATGAATATTATACAAGGTGATCCAGTGGCAAGTACCGTAGATTGAAGGGCTCATAGGCAAAGCTAAATTATGAAAAAAAGGAGAAAAACGTATTTCTACCGGAATATGAAGTGTTCAAGAGTCCGCAGACATAACAGCTTTTCAATTATATTTTGAGTAGACCAATGATTCAGATTTTTTTCTGAAAATGTTGTTTTTGAAATAACCAGGCATTGAAAATATTCCTAATGAAACGAAAGTGTCTTAGATTCAGACACCACTTGTCCCACAAAAAATCCTGAATGGAAGATAATAATAATTTTTTTCTGTGACGGGAAAAAAGTTTGGCATTTCATCTCTGTTGGCAGGTTATAAAATGTCACTTTTCATAAATTACTTTTTTCCCGTGGGAAAAAAGTGAGTACTTTTTTCCCGGATATATATCACATATATATACTCTGTTAATGGCTTTTATTGTGCTATAGTTTCGAAAAATGAGTCAATAATACCGTCTCCCAGAAAGAGCTGCAAGTCCTTTTATCTTCCATTCGACTTCGCGGTTTCGTATATTACTAAACAACTACTGAATTCGCAATATTTCAAAATCAAATCACAGAATTGAACTGACAGAAGTGACATCAGATATTTGATTACTTCAAAAGAATGATAAAGATGTCTATAAAACGCAGGTGTCCCTACTGTTGAAAACTTGAAATTTCACGTCGATAATTTTCAGATTTCGAAATAATGTAATATCTTCTCAATATTGATTCGTCCTTCCTTCTGTCACAGAAAAAAATAGTGTATTATACACGGGAAAAATATTAGATTTTAGCTCACGGTTTTTTGTCTCCCTCCGCTACGCGTCGGGAGACAACACAACCTGGAGCTAAAATCTACTACTTTTTTCCCTTGTATAATAAATAACTATTGTGACCACAACTCGCGTTTCATTTGTTCCTCCATGTTTTTCTCTCTAGTATATATATATTTCAAAAAATGTATGAGAGAATACTTCACAGGTAGAAATGTTGACTACATAACTATGGACTATAATGGAGAACATCACCACAAATGAATGGACGGGCACTCCACCACCTACCAAATACGTTGAAGGTAATGTGGCACTACCTACAAAGTTATTCAACTTGTTGAATTGGTTCACTGATAAAATGTGAATGTGAACGGAAAATTCTTGGTGAAACAACTGATTGCACTGAAACTACACCATAAAGCCGAAAGTCGAAAACGATAATACTTTGTTATGTTGAGCTGGATTTATTTTTGGGCGATTTAGACTTTGGTGATACTCGCGATGAAACGCCATTGCTGATTTACATCACACGCTTCATCGCTAGCATCGCCAAAACCAATACAATAAACCCAGCTTTCTGGTTCAGTCAGTTCAGATAAGCTAATAAACAACATTTGACATTTGAGGTTATGTAGGTGCATATGATTAATTTCAACTGCTCAACTGCTTATTCCATGCGTTGTCACGTATACAAAATAGTATAACATGAAATCCCAATGACAGAATAAAGTAGAATTCAATCGATGAATTGGACTAATGTCTTTTGTTACATACAATCTGTTGTGCAGATTTTGATCTCATCGGCGCCATCGGATATTTTAAGATTTGCTCTCATTGATAGTCAATTGTTTTTGTTAGACACTTTCGAATATTAGCAGATACACACGTCATCTCTATTGCCAGCTGACATTAGAAGAGTGTGCCGATGCCAATCATGATTCCAAAAATGAAGCATCTGGGTTCATTTTTGAAACAAATAGGGACATCGAATATTATTTATAAAAGAATAATTTTGAAATATGTTTGGTAAAAATTGTACTAAGCCGTATTGATAGTGAATAAAATCTTTTCCATTTGAGAGAAAATTTCACAATGTGTTTGAATGTGCGGTGATATTTTTCAATTACATTCTGAAAAGGTTTTCTTAAAATTTCAATATTTATTATGCCCCATTATTGCATAGAGTCCGTTTAAACGGACATGCACACCATTGGCATCTACGCGTGAATTAACATAACCTATCATATATAAAAACAAAGTAATACTACTTTACACGTGTGTTTTCATCACTTTCCGTTATAACGGACACTATACCACTGGTGTCATGAGTGTTGAACTTTTCTTTTCAGTTTGTCACTCGAAGAACTTCTTCAAGAGCTGGAGAAAGACGATGTTGAGCAGCAAATTGACATTTATGCTATAGCGCCAATTGATGGTAATGATACTGTTGAGGATGAGGATTTGAGTGACGATGAACATTTCGGGGATTTAAACTGTTTGGGACCAAAAATGTTGAAAACTACGTGTGAATTTGAGTTCGGATGAATAAGCAGTGCAAGAACATGTTCAGATCCGAAATGAAGTCACTGAAGATTGCGAAGTCCAAGACTCAAATGAAATGGAAAAAGTTCAAACTCGATTTCAATATGATTACTGATTGTCAAGAAAAGCGACCCTCAGAATCTGCGAATCAATGTGAGAGCCCTCTTGAATTTGTCAAACTCTTCTTTACTGATGATTTCTTGAACCAAATACTCATTCAAATCTATATGCAGCCCACTCAGTTGAATATGACAATGGACGAAATGTACGTTTTTATTGGTAGTCGACTCTTTTCTGGTTATGCTAAATATCCAAACAAGAGAATGTTTTAGTCATGCTCTGCTGATATCCCAGAAATTTTGCAGAACAGTATTAGGCTCAATCGGTTTGAACAAATTCTAAGACATTTTCATTTGAATGCTAATTCAAATTTGAACGCTGAAGAACGTTTATTCAAACTAAGACCAGCAATATCTCATTTGAATGAAGTTCTTCGAGCTCATGGTGGATTGGAAGAAAATATTTCAATTGATGAAAGTATGATTCCATATTATGGAAAACACTACGCGAAACAATACATAAAAGGCAAACCAATACGATTTGGTTTCAAGAGTTGGGCACTTTGCACAAGTTTTGGTTACCTACTAGCTTTCGGAATATATTGTGGAAAAGGAACAAATTCAAATGAGAAAGTATTCGGGCTTGGAGGAGACATGGTGGTATCCATAATTCATCAAGCCAAAATTACTCCAAGAGAGGGGTATACATTTTATTTTGATAATTATTTTTCATCCACCTCACTGATGTGTCATCTGAGCTATCTCGGACATTCCGCAACAGGTACGATTCAAGCGTCAAGAACAGGAAATTGTCCTTTCCTTGATGTAAAATCCATGGATAAAAAACCAAGAGGATTCTATGATTATCAATCCGACGTTGATCAGAGGGTATCACTAGTTCGTTGGAGGGATAACAAATCAGTGACATGTATTACGAACTATGATTCTGTTACTGAAGAATCTAGATTAGAGCATTAGATATTACCGAGAGAAAAAATTGCAGTGATCCAGCCCAAACCAATAGCGAATTACAACAAAAGAATGGATGGTGTCGATAAAATGTACCAGGTTGTAGCTGCCTATCGCAGTAGAATGCGGCGAAAAAAATGGTGGTGGCCGATTTTTGTATATCTGCTCGATGTTTCGGTATAAAATGTATGGTTGTTGATGCGGAGAGTTCTTCCAAAGGACAAAATGGCAATGGGAGGTCTTATGAACTTCCGGAGATCTATTGCAGTAGACCTCCACACTACTCATGGAAATGCGTCATCCAGATGAAAAACGATCAGGATTCCAAGTGAAAATATTAGATATGATAGGAGTAATCATCTTGTTGAATATAATACAACCGAACGAGGATGCGACTTTTGTGGCAATAATCTCATTTCATTTGTGGAAAATGTAAAATAGGGCTACACCCAAAAATATGCTTCAAGGATTATCATACCAAATGAAAAAAATGGTATCTGTTTAATGAGTCGTCATTTTTACCACCTGCATAGTGTCCGTTTCAACAAACGTATTTTTTTTTTCAAAATCAAAATTGAGAAAAATCTCCCAATGGTTTTATTTCATTCTTCAATAAGCCATTATGAGTTTCAGATGATTTATGAACGAAAAAAGTGATCACTAAACTTCATGCACTAATGGGTTAATAGTTTTCATCCAACTTGAAATTAGTATGAACTTACACCTTTGCCAAGTCCAAATGGGTGAATCGTTAAATAACCTGGTGGCAAATTTGATGCCACTGGGATACACTGTGTTTCGACACTCAATTTTCCTTTCTGCAGCAACGGTAGCCAAGCATATCCTACGCAGCTTTCTACTCCGTTCTCCCTCTTTTTGGTAATATCACAGGATATGTGGTAAAAAGTAAATAACAAATGGTGCGTAGAGAGAATATTCGTCGGTAACCTTATTTTAATTTCTTCGTACCATAATGGAAAAGTGTTGTGGTGCAAAATGACACAGGACACCTGAGAAACTAATAGGGGTTGACCGGGACGGCCGTATATACACTGAAAATAACAGAAATGGGCTTCAAAGTATTGCATAAATGACTAAATAACTTTAATAATTCACATAATTTAGATTCCGTGACAGCATATTCGATGGTGTACACCAGCATTAAAAAAAAAAAACTTGCAAATAATAATCAATGATCGAACTTTATACAATATTATGCAGAATAGGGAGATTTCAAGGAAGTCGAATATAATTCGACTCAAAAGCCAGAGTTAAGTAGTCATAACGCGTACGGTCAAGCGCAGTCGGTCGTAGGATAAAATTAGTCTCCAAAATTTTAAAAACATATTTTTGGCTCTTCGATGTTTTCAAGTTGACTATCCTGCAGTCACTGGTTTGAACAATAGAAATATATCTAAAATTTTACCCTGTTCAATAGTGTGGAAGAGCTCCACAGTTGAATTAGCATAACTTTTTCCTGTGAGCAGTAAGATATTTGAAAGCAGTCCCTAATGAAATTAAATGAGAAGAATGTCATGCTTGCAAAAGGTCGGGTCGATCTGATTTTTCATATGTTGTTAGGACCTAAACCTAAAAATATCAAAAGACCAGATTGCAATTTCCAAAGTTCTGTGCGAGTGGTGGTGTATCCAAAAAACTATAAAATTTTCGTTCCTTTTTCAGTCTTTGCTCAATATCTAAGTGAAGGGAGTTTTTGACCAGTATAGTCACTCTATATACTTTTGAAGTAGACTAGATTTGCTTCAATTTGAGATCAGAGCAAGCTTTAAACAACCATTGGTTCACAAGATACAAGAAACGAGGCCATTTCTTCGAAAAAGTGAAATTTTTCATAGATGCTAACTTCTTTTGTGAAATATCTTCTAGAATAAAATTTAATAACCTCTCATTTGAGACTAGACTGATAGGCCCAGCGGTTCTCGAAAACATGGCCAAGAACAGTCATAAGTGAGTTTTGAGGAGAAATTCGAAAAAACTGTTCTCACGTCTTTTTATTTTTTATTTATCGAACAGTTACAATTTATTAATTTTTGTTATTGTTGAAAAATTGTTTGATGACTACATACTACATACTAAAATGCTTGTACAAACATCATGGTACCTACTATAAGGACAAATTACATCAACACAAAAAAGTAAACTAATATAAAACATGTAAGTATTTTGTTCTGGTTGCCAAATCATGCCTTTCTTTGATGGCCCGGGCTTGGGCTCGCGCGAAGATGGTGTCTCGATGACTGTGATGGATGCTGGGAGAGGCGCCCAGTCTGTAGTCAGGTCATCTTTATCATCCGATCATTTCAGCTACACATCCAGGACGTTAATGCACAATTTGCCACCGCATGACTGGCAAAGGACTGAGCAGTGGAGCCCAGCCATTCTGCACGAGCACCCTTTCTTGCATTTACAGATTTCCGTCTGATATCTCAGGAAATCCAAAGTATCCCTCGTGATGTCACACCCATATAGAACCACAAAACATTTGATGCCTGCTTTTCTCACGGCTTGTGGGGTGGAGTCTGGCCAAGAGAAGACTTCCACATGCTCAACAAGTGGTCAAAGGGTGATGATGTAGTATCGCGCCCGGAAAACGCGTGGGTGAATAGTCTTGCCCTTGGTGATCGCTGGGAGTCCTGGTGGTTGTGGAAGGTCGTAGAGTAGTGACAGCAACCAGCTTTGCTATTCACCCTCTTCTGAAGGTAGAAGTTTGCCTCTTAGCGCATAAACTATTGTGAAGGAGAAGCAGGTTGACGTCTTCTCCCACTATGACGACCCGATCGGCTATTGCTCGGTTTGAAAGCGCCGTGATGACCATCTCCCTCCTTCTGAATGGCGTCACAAAGAAGAGTTATTAGGCGACTCTTGTAGTTCTCATTGGCCAATACATGCTCTTGAGCAATTGGAATTACTGTGGATTCATCGAACGATAATTCGTAACTGGAATGAGCTACGTAGCCGACAAAAACGATGTGGAAGTTCTTTCAAAAGTGGTTACGGACGACGTAGGTAGCATAACGCGCCAGGAGTGCTCGAACTGTGCTCTTCCGCAGCCACACGACCTTGTGCAAGAGGTAGTCACATTCCAAAACGACGTGAGTGCTGGCATCTATGGGCGTGTGGCTGGAAAAGGAGTGAGTGCCCTTACGCATCCCCTGCTCATCAAACAGAGACATCGGGAATGGGGCCAACTCATACTTGAAGTCATTCTGTAAATCCTGTTCAGTTTGCTTTGCAATACACACTCGCTGGAAAATTGTGAGCGGATCCACAGGTTCTCTTGAGTATTTGTTTGTCAATTTAACAGGTGAAGTGATCGATGCCAGTGTGGTAACTTTTGTTTTCAGCTTTATTACTATCTTGTTTACATTTGCCCCACGATTTTCATCACTCCCTCCGTTCCAACTCTTTAGGACGTATGGCAATTAGTCTCAGGACCTGCCAGTAAACCACTACTGATAGAAAGCGAACTGTAGGTCTTGGAGGGTGGGGAGCAAATCAGTTTCAGTTTTGAGTTTTTTCACATCACTGTTATCTCGGACGATTCAAGAAGTCTACATGTTGCTCTCCAGTAGGACACGAGATGGAGCAAGAACAAAAACACTTCCTTGAAGCGAAAACACTTTCCTTGAGGCGGAAACACTTGCGAAGTGCTATATCATCGGACGAACGAGTTGGACTGGTTCTACTATCCGTTCTGAAATAACCATCCTTGCAAAATGAGCAGATTTCCACGATAAAACAAAAATGGATGCCATGGGGTCCTTCATTTGTCTGAAACTGTTGATATTGTTTCAGTAACAAGAAACCTGTATGAATTGAATAGTCTACCCGTCAGGTCTCAAATTATTATTTTTTTAACAATACGGAATATAGAAGAATTGTAAGTGTGTGACAAATAAAAACCATAAAAAGACATGAGAATAGTTCATTTGGATTTTCCCCGAAACCCACTTGACTGTTTTTGGTTTTCTGCCATTCATGAGAACCGATAGGCCTACAGGAACCAGTCTAGTCTCAAATAGAAGGTAATTAAATTCACTACAACTTCATTTCAAATAATATTTGACGTGGAAAGCGTATTTCAGAAGATAATTCACAAAATAAAATACATGACCATTCCGAAGAAACTCCACTTTTTCGAAAAAAAATTCTATTTTCGAAAAACTCTTGGGAACCAATAGTTGTTCAGAGGTAGTTTTATTCTCAAATTGTAGCTAATTTAGTTTATTCTGAAAGTGTATAGACTGACTATATCAGTCAGATCCTTTCTTCACTGAGATATTAGCGAAAATTGAAAAGTACGAAAATGTCATGCCGCTCGCACAGCACTTTGGAAACTGCAAATCTGGTTTTTTAATATTGGTTTAGGTCCTAACAACATATAAAAATTCAGAACGACCACACCTTTTGCAAGCAAGGATGTACATACATCTTGATTGGACTAATAGTGATACATTCATATCTAGGGTTTGAATGAACGTCTCGCCATCAAGCATATCAACATGGTTTGTCATGCCTATAAGGGTATCAGAAAGTAAAGAGCGAGATCTATTATGGTATTGAATATGGGGTAAAAAATCCTTCAAGTAAATGTTACGAATATCATTATTATTCGAACAATTACGAATTCAAGAATAGGTACTAAGTTTGGTGGGAGTATATTCTTATGAGTAAATAGTTGGAATATAATTGCATTCATAATGTTTTAGTTTTTTATGTATAAAGGTAGGTTTCAAGTCTGAATACAAATAACTCAGAATCACTTGATTTTTTTAAAAAACATTTTTTTAAACTATGACGGTAGGTGCTAGTTCCTATCAAAGAACCCAAATTTATGTAGTCTGAAGTTATTTTACCTTGAAAAAAATCTAGGAAGATTACGCAAATATAAAAAATTGTAACTATCCTTCCCGGATAGAATTCTGGAAGCGCCAAAGGAATCTAGAGTTATACTATAATAACAAAAATAAAATGATGTTCCAACACCGCATTTGTCAATGTATTCGCAATTACGAATTTTGAATGAAAGGATGTAGATTTTGCCTGCCAAAGTGAATGAATATCTACAGACCTGTAATCCTTGAGCTTCTTCGTTATCAGAATTCCGAAGTTCTATAACACATGCAATGTTTCGGGCTCTAGAAAATGTTTTCTGCATGTCAAAATTCAAGCTGAGCGGATAAACAAATAGGTGATTTATATATGTCGTATATGGGTTGATGTCTTTGTCGCATAATCCTTCTAATTCAGCTAATTCTATAGTGGGTTCCGAGGTGGGAGGTAAAGGAAAAGGTTTTAGTGGAGCAAGAGAAGTTGTTAAAGTACCTGAAAGTATTAAAAAATTACACTATCCATGCATTTTACATTTTACCTTCCCACATTATAACTAATCATCATTTTCATGATTAAGAATCAGGAGTAGAACTGGCTAATATCTCTGAAAAGTACTGTTTATCACTCAACCCCGCCATGTTATTTGGAAGTCGAACTACCGACAAATAAGATTTTGTGGACATTAAAATCAATGGTGTTTCATTGGTTCTTGTGAATATAGCAACAAATTTGGGTGTCTATTTTGACTCGGACATGAGATTTTCCAAGCAGATGAATCACATGATAAAAAATGCGATCTACAAACTAATACTTTTCAATAACCGCACCTCTTTTAATGAAAATACATACATTACTTTATGCGAAACTCTGGTACTATAGCATTTTAACTATGCTGACACCTTGTATGGGCCATGCCTGACTGAAGGAAATCGCAGATTGCGAACGGTTCTGAATAGATGCGTCCGTTACATTCATAATATTGGTAAAAGACATTCGGTTTAGTAAACTACTAGAGTTGAGATGGCTACATTTGAGCAAGCATGTTTATTTTTTAAAATTATCAAGAAGCTAGAACCTTTATACCTAGCACGCAGAATAGATATACACAATGTCAATGCGAGAAGAAAGAATATCTTCACAATCCCACATCACTCCAACAATCTTTTTCTTACACGATTTGCAAATTGATTAATGGCTTACCCTCTGATCTTTTGAAATTGAATTTCAAGAAATTCAAGGAAAATTTCAAAAATATTCTGTTGAATGATTATTATATTATATCCAATTTCAATGTTCGAAGTTTTTTTTTCTTTTTTTTAATTATGTAAACATAACATTATGAAACCATCAGAATAATATTTACGTTTACCAATTCCCTAGTTCTGGTATTCACCTGGTTGCAGTCAAAACTTAGTCTAGGTTAAGGTTGTTGTTTCATAGTTGTATAGTTTATGGTGCCAACTGAACTTATTTAGTAATGTTTTGTTTTTAGTTTATAGTTTGATAACATAAGATTTTCTTCAATTTGTATACCTTTTCGAGGGTAAGGGATGATTGAGGCCAATGTACATTAATGTACAATGAAACTAACTATAGCCCTTTTCAGTCAGGCACTCAGGTAAGTTCAATATATAAGTCACCTACCTATATGAAATATATATTATTTCCAATTAGTGAATAGATGACGAACATAAAAAAATGAATGACAAGTTATTATCAGAAAATGGTTTATTTTTCAGAATATTAATTTCTTTATGTTTTCAGATTTCATAGTATGTGTTCAACAGGCATTTAATTGCATGTGCAGCATATCTCAGGAAATTAGAATTTTCTGATTAATACAAAAACAAAAATTTTTAATGATGACTAAGAAACCCTCAGTTATTTTTTGCTACTTTGTTTCTGGTCACCTGTACTGAAAGTACCTATGAATAAGTTTCAATTTATTGAATATTTCAATTTGAAACTTTTAAATAATGTGGAAAAGTAACATGTATTACTAAGCAATGTTCCTACTCACTTGGTGGAAGATCGTTTATGGCAGATACGGTAATTTCTAAGGAACCAGGAATCACAGTGAACTTGTTAAATTTATCAGGTTTCCTATAATCGGACAACAATTTTATCATTTCTTCATCAGATAACTTTGTGGGTTCTTGACGATAAATGGCGTGAAAATCAGAAGTTGTGTCCAATTCGTTACTATATAACCTGTAACAAATAAACACATTGATGATTTATTTATATTTATGTCCCAGCTACATTCAACCTCTCCTCTTTTTTTAATAGGTATTTATACACCATGGTAGTGGAAAATAGCATTATTACCAATGTACCAACGAGTATAAGGTCCAGTGGTAATAATATTCGTCAATGTCAAGGGGTATATTATTTGTATTATTTCCATCAATCTTCCTTCCTTCCATCCTTCCTTAATATGAATACCATGAAATATTAGTAAACATTTATTACTTGCCACATCAAAATAATCCACTGTAAGCTTTGGGTGTCATACATAACAGAGATCACAAGACAGACTTCAAGTCTAGCGTGACGATGTTTTGTAGGGCACTCAGTAACCGAAAATTGTCAAATAACAAATAGTACATAAAATGAATATAATTTATTATTATTAATTTAAAGATGCATACATTTGTACATGGAATACTGAGAGAAATTGAATAAATTGAAATTGAATTGAAATTGATAGTTATGTAGGACTGAATGTGATAGCATCATTTTTATTCTTATGGAAAACTAGGCATCTTCAACACGCGAGCATGACCGTCATTCTTGTAGAAATTTTTAAATACAATTCATAATAGCTATTTAGTTAGTTATCCTCCTCTGGGTGCCAGGGCATATCGGAGTGGAGGGGAATAAACAAGCAGACGCTCTGGCACGACAAGGGGCTTCAACGCCACTGATCGGACCAGAGCCATTCTGCGGCCTTGGAAATTCCTATTTCCAAGGAGAACTTGAGAAGGCGGAAGGAGCCTGGAGAGCCAGACAATGGAGAAGACTTCCAGGACTACGGCAGGCTAAAGATCTCCTTGGAAATTTCAACCGAGAAAGATCTAAGACACTGACAAACCTCAGCAAAGGAAGTCTCAAAGCAATAACGGGATTTCTAACGGGGCATTGCAGACTCAAAGAATACCTAAGGAAGCTAGGCTTACAGGAGGACGGCACCTGCAGATTCTGTGAGGAAGAACCAGAAACACCCCATCACATACTGATGGAGTGTGACGCTGTACATCACAAAAGATTGAACATACTGGGAACACACCAGCTGACTGTGGAAGAAATACCACAGCTAGACCCCCTCAAAATCCTCAAATTCCTGAAGGAATTGAATCTCGAGGGGCTGCTATGAACAAGAAATCCTTGATATAGCAGGAGCAGATGGGGCACAATAGATCTAATTGGGTCGCAGCGCATCTGTCACCATCCAACCTACCAATACCAATACCAATAATAGCTATTTATACTGGGAGACAAAGAGTATCGGGCCACCCCTGTAACTTCTGCCTTTGGTAACGGATTCTTCTGAAATTTGGTACAGTTATATAATCAACCATTTCGGATTTGACCACATTACAATCTAATATGGTGGAATTCCAGTTTTTCTGGAAATTCCCGCAACTTTTTTTTTCAAATGGTACACCCTGTATATTTGTGCAATCTTTATAACAAGATTTTTACAGCTTGCTTGAAAAATTATTTGAACTAGTTATTTATTTTTGAATGTATACAATTTGTTACTGCAACAATATACAAAAATGATATGTCAATTTTTTCCTCATCTATGTTCAAAAGAAACATGTAGGGCCCATAGGGGTTACGTTTGAAAAAATAATGTTTTTATCAAAATGTGATTTAACTGAATTGATTCATCGATAAGTGACATAAAAAATAGTTTTTCAAAATAAAATGTTTTTCTAGTATGTTGTGAATAGCCTTGATCACTATTTTATTTTAAAATGTATCGAAAAAATTTCATTTGATCCAGAGATTGTACTTGTTTTGACCTGTTGAACTCGAATATGTAAAGATATACAGGGTGTTCCATTTGGAAAAACAAAATTGCTGGCATTTCCAGAAAAACCGGAAATCCACCATATTGGAATGTAATGTGATCAAATCCGAAATGGTTGCTTATGTAACTGTACCAGATTTCAGAAAAATCCGTTCACCAATGCAAAAGTTACAGGGGTGGCCAGATACCCTGTGACACCCGGTATATTAAAGCAAAGTTATCCATTTCTTATTGAAAAGGAATATTCTCAGATATATTATAAACATGAAAAAATGGATACATTTGAATAAATACATTGAGAATTCGCATTCTCTATGTGATGAAAATATTGATTCTTTCTCGGCATATTCAACAGAAAACAACTACTTCCCTGGCTATATGCCACGACGAACATTGAATTATATCAATTGAACATACACGATAGGAATTTGAGAATAAAATGAATATCGTCTGAAATTGAGAATTGATATTCTCTTCCAGAATCGGATGAATAATATGATGAATATAACGATATAAAAAATATATTACTCACCAAATTGGTATGAAAATTGGAATGTATGGGAGAAATATACCAGTATACATACTCTGTTCTTGTTGAGTAGTGAATTTATCAAAAATCATTCGTATCCATGATGTTTGGGATATATGCACATCTCTTTCACATAGGTTAGATGATTTTGATTCGAATAAAATTCATTTCGAGTTTCAAACTCTCCTCAGTAACCTGAAGTCCAGTCATTCCTTCAGCCATTCTTCATTCAATACACAATTTTCACATTTCTATAATAATATAACTAAAACTATAGTGGAACTGACATCTATCTGAGAATGAAAATTTGTTGACTTATCTCCAGTCATGTGGGTGGCAATTGTTTTAGATGTATGACAAACTGACATTTATCATTTCTTCTTCGCGTACTCCTCTATCTTCAAAATTAAGGGAGATACCATGCCGCCGAAAATATAATATCTTGAACATACATCAACGTATTGTCAAGCTTTGAATTTGAATTGTCTAAATTTCACTGGTAAGTATATCCAGCCTTGTATGCTTTTAAATAACAACTTCCATCGGTAGGTAGAGTGTGATTGGTTCGCGCGGCTGGCGGCCATAAGCGTCTCTTTTATTCTTTTATTCTAAAATGACAACTGAGTTGAAACATTTAGCACTGAATTAGGAGGATACAAATAAGTACATAACCCCTACATTATAAAAATGATCGAGATGATGATTCTGATTTTTGGACAACACGCCACTGAAACAAATTCATGATGTTTCCTGATTTTATCGCATCCAATTTATTCGTATTTAACCCCAAAAATAAGATAAAAAATCTAAAATATGTCATTTTGATCTGGACTTTTTTTGCAACAAATCCGGAAGATGTACCATGATGTCTTCGTATTTTATCGCATCTAATTTACAGATTTTCGATTCTTTTCGAATTTTAGGGTGATAAGCGGTGAACTGTAAGCGACAAAATCTGGAGACATCATGAATTTATGTTATGGTATTATTTGACAAGATGAATCAAGAGCGAGTTGATAATTCCAATTCTGAATCTATAAGCTATATCTTGAAAGTGCAATGTTTCCCCTTCTTTTCATTTAGTTTCAAAGATAAGTGATTGAAATTCGGAATGACTCTTCAACTTGATAAACGTCACGTTTCGACATGAATATGTTTTCTATTTTCTACTTCTGTTTTAACCGAAAGTGGTAACGTATAGAATTTTAATTTTTATTTTAATGATTTAATTTTTGATTTTCCATCTGATGTATTCCTATCGACAGGTGTAATGCTAGAAAAAATTGAATTCTGTCAAAAACGTCAAATTAGTTGATTTATCACCATTTTTCCACAAGATCGCGCAACTGAGACGTGACATCAAGGTTGATAGAATTGATAGGAATTCTTCTTTTCATTTCATTTGGCTTCTTCCTGCGATATTTTGTTCACTGTTAATGTAAAAATTGCGTTGTAAAAGTCCACATTGAGAGTTAAAAACGCAAGACTGATCAAGTCCAACCATAACTTGAGCTTTTCTATTTGTTTACATAGGCCACAAAAAAATATCTAGAAAATAGGTCATAGCCTTCAGAGTTATACGGCAAAAGATGCTTCTGGCTTTGACATAGACCTCATGCTCTGGTAACGCCAACTTGAAAATGTAAGCCCTCATTGAGTTCATCAAAATGGTTTGGTGTACCGGTACCACTTTTTGTTAAGTAGCGAAGGATAGAGATCGGTAATCAAGGGTAATGCAGAATAAATTCGAAGTATATTTTTCGATGTTTTTATTTAAGAAGGAATGTCAGAGGGGATTGGATTCGATATTGAAAGGAGTGTTGTTTATAAAGTGGCAGGCAGGTTATGATATCAGAATAGTAGATAAATTAAAACGTAGACATATATTCAAGTTAAATCTATTCACGGTTGGGTGGACATATACCTAGTATATAAGTAGCACACTAGGATAGAACATTCAGTTTTAATCTTTAGTAGAGTGCCAATCGAATCCTATCGTTCACCCCGTGGAAAATCGGAGGTAAAAAGCTGTGACATGGCTAGAATTGTTACCTACCATCTCCAGATCATGGATCCACTTGTCGTCAAAAAATCGTCCTGTGCGTTTGGGGGGTAGGGGGTAATTTATAAAAAAATATGGATTTTTTTTTTATTCGTGGAAAATATTGAGGGGTTTCAGAACTTTCACCCTGTTGAATTTTGATTTCGTGTGACAAGTAGAACGAATTATAGAAAATTTTGAAATTCACCAATTACATTACGATATTAAAGAAAATCATATTTCAAACGGCTATAACTCAAAACTTGTAAATTTTCGTTAAATTGCTTTTCATATACCTCGCATTATCTCAGTAACTACAACGTTTATCAAAAAAATACAATCAATAATGTCGATGCGCCTATGTTTCAAGATGCGAATGGTTCTTCGATTTTGAAAATCGAAGCATAAATAAGGAAGATATTGGGAAAAGCATAATGCAATGCAGGTACCACGGACGAACGCGTTTCGCCGCATTCGTACCCCTATTCTCCCCGCAATACCCGCGGCTATCATGGTTCCATACGCTTTCGTTATACACATCAACATTGAGGCGTTGACCATTGCATTTAATGGGGACTTATTGTGAATCAATCATTCGATATTTGGTACTGTGTGCTCTGTTTCAATAATTAAATAAGTATTGGTTAGCTAACGAGATCTATTATTGTAAATTTATCATAAAATATATGTTTCTCTAGATAAAAGATGAAAAGTACTATCAATTCAGACACTGATCTTGAATATGTCTTGAAGTTGAAGATTCCTTTCCAGCAGAGTACAGAATCATCGAGAAAATGTTTCATTTGTGGAAAAGATGGTCAACTCCTTCGTTGTACAGAATTATCGATAAAAACATTCGAAAGTTGTATGAATATAAGAAAAAACCTCGGAAAAAACTATGCGATGCAAATCAATGTGGAACTTCAGAGAATTGATGATATATTCAATGAAAATAAAGGTCAATTGATCTTCTGGCAAAGGAATATTGGAAACTGGAGACATTAGTGTCAGGAATGAAACGCTTTCTATAGTGAAATTGAAATTGATGTGAAGGATATGAATCAGATGTAATCCTGCCAAAAGAAATAACACTTCGTAAATTTTGTATTTTAGATGTGTCTAAATGTGTTTTCTACCAAAAACGTTCAAATAAGAGTCAAGTTTTGACATAGTATTGACTACCAACATTGTTTATTGCAATCGAAGTCAAGTATCATAGCCAATGCTTTGGAAACATTATAGAGGATCACTGAGTGAGAATAAAGTTGTCAATACCACACATGACAGAGAATTTGATAATCTGATAAAATTAATAGATGGTGCAGATTTTCTAATGGAAAATGGTATACTTTCAACTGTTTATATCAGAAATATGTCGAACTTGGTGGCAAAACTGGTAGGAAAATCATTATCGAAGAATACTGTCTGTATATAGGTTAATCGAGGAGGTAAAACATTCATTTCACTTGATTTTTTTCGGATTTTCTTTCCTCGTTTCTTTGGACGTTTCGTCCTCAACATGATAATGCATCTTATTCCAAGAAAAAATGTTTTGCATTTTCATGTCGAGAACCGGAGTAGATTCGTTCCCGAAACGTCCAAAGAAACGAGGAGAGAAAATCTCAAAAAATCAAGTAAAATAAATTTATCGAAGAAATCAGAAAGCATTACGACAAGGAGATAGAAATTATCAAATGAATCAAAACGTTCTAATGAGTCGTATATTGTGATTCCAAATGAAACAAGAACTCATCTCATTCATACACATATATAGAACAAAGTGAAATTACAGAAGATAACTACCCTGACTTTGCATGCATCAGATATGACCCAGATACACAAATTTTTTGACATATTTAGCAAGATATGAGAGATATTCCAGATTATATAAACAACTCAAAAATATGGATGTCAAGGCTTACGAATATGATAACAAAAAAACTTTTTTTTAATTAGTTGCCTTATACCCGATAAAGTTGATTCAGTTATTGATTCAAAGGTGTTGAGTATCTGATGTCAAGGTATAATACTCGCTAATTCGAAATTCAAAAAACTCACACCAAAACACGTTGGTTTGAAAATGATGATTCATCAAGATACATGATCGAAAAAAATTATCGAAGCTTTGTATTCTTGTGGACACTGTATCGTATAAAAATATTTACAACTTTGCAATTCGATTGGTATCAAAGGATGTTTTTTTTCCACAAGGGTATTTTATCTTTATTTCAATATTATATGCATCATGTTTTTCAATATTTCTCAATTTGTTAATAAATGAGATGGGTGACATTTTACTCTGATGGATAAAAAATGTACTTTCGGGATAGAATCATTCATAAAATAAATTGAGGTCACTTCCAATCAAACAGCAAATTAAAAGAAATTTCTGTTAACTTGGAAAACAGCGATCGATTCCATTTTTCCCGTGAATTCCATGATCGTAATTCTGTAACACTCAGTAATTCATATTTACGGTGATCGTACTAGGACGGCTGCGGCGTTGCGGGGAGAATCGGGGTATGAAAGCGACGGACCGCGGTCCTTCGTACTACCTGCATTGGATTATGATTTTCCCAATATCTTCCTTATTTATGCTTCGATTTTCAAAATCGAAGAACCATTCGCATCTTGAAACATAGGCGCATCGACATTATTTGAAGTATTTTTTTGATAAACGTTGTAGTTACTGAGATAATGCGAGGTAAATGAAAAGCAATTTAACGAAAATTTACAAGTTTCGAGTTATAGCCGTTTGAAATATGATTTTCTCATATATCGTAATGTAATTGGTGAATTTCAAAATTTTCTATAATTTGTTCCACTTGTCACACGAAATCAAGATTCAACAGGGTGAAAGTTCTGAAACCCCTCAATATTTTCCACGAATAAAAAAAAATCCATATTTTTTTATAAATTACCCCCTACCCCCCAAACGCACAGGACGATTTTTTGACGACAAGTGGATCCATGATCTGGAGATGGTAGGTAACAATTCTAGCCATGTCACAGCTTTTTACCTCCGATTTCCCACCAACTTTTGATCTAAGCGACTTACGATTCGTTTGGCACTCTACTACTTCTCCTAAGATACTAAAATAGTTAGCGAAACACGTGTCGAGGTGTAAAAAATGGGCTTGGTTAGTGGTAAAACAGTGTGTAGTTTATTTTATTAAGGTTCCAGTCTCCGATATATCCTATTTCATATTTATTATTGTTGCATCAACGGAAAAACTCGAAGTTTGAAGTAAACATGAAACACTTGCTACCTATTCTCATTTGGAACACGATGTTATACGGATCCTGTAGTCTACCGCAATTGGTCAAAGAGTATTTTACAGCTTCCAATAAAAACCAATGGAAAAAGAGCGATATTTTGTATATTATACAGAAATTACTTATGAGGCATTCGCCGGGTCCTCTTTTTGCCGACAAACGTGTCGCCTTACCTTTGATATCATCATCATCTGAGGTTTTTACCCATTTTTTCGGGGAGGGGGAATCACGGGCATCGTGCTACATATTTACGGGAACTATAAAAATATCTTATGATTCACATTCGACAATATCGAATAATAGGTATTCTGGGAAATTATAATTTTAAAAGGGAGATGAAACAGATACGATAATTTATTATCGTTAACTTCCTTATAGTCACACTAGTGAAATCTCAAGAAAGCAAAATGATCCCGTATTCCATTTTGAAACGTATTTTCAGCATTCGCCAATGAGGATGCCAGCAATCAATGTTGAAAAACATGGAATCACGCGCCACCAAGTTTCCCCTTATAAGAATATCCTTTTTATAAAATAAAAAATTCTAGGATGCTCACAAAAGATGAACGGATATTTCTGTAGAAGTAAATTCAAAATATCTGATTATACCCTAAAAATGCAAAATGGATGACTTTTTTTTGCGAAAAATCGGTGTTTTTACAAAATTCCACTCCAAGAGAAACCCAGATACTTCAATAATTCCACGAAAAGTGGAGGCGAAGAAATCTTGTTTTCATCGCAAAGTTTAAAAACAAATTGACTTTCTCAGATATTCATTTCTCACCTGAAAAGAGGCCTGGCAGCCCAAGCGAATGGCATACGATACTTCCCCAGTCTTTGGCAACATACAGCTATATTCCTATAAACTTTCTGACTAATTTTTGGATCTTTGTTAGCCTTAATATAAGGCTCAGAACTCTGATATATACCCCCTTGCAACACCTTCTCTATTCTAACCACCAGAAATATGTCTGGATGTGGGTTTGTCACACTTAAAAGTGCCTGCCTGGGATACATCAACCATTCCATAGGTAGATTCGGTGGAAGATCCAATTTTGAATAATTATTCGAGTTGCTACAAATGCCATTATTGAACGTGCTCCTTATACTAGTGCTATTAACATCAAAATGAAAATTTTCAGTCAGTTTTCTACCATTTTTGGCATCAAATAGGCACAATGTTGTATGGTACGGTTCTACCTGGCAAAGATTATCTCTATCGTCTACGACTTGTAACTTTAACCTAATTCTTTCACATTTGAGAAGGACTCTTTGTCCGAACACTTCTTTATATGGTTCTATTTGGTCCTGACTAGAACTTTGAGACTTTATGTTCAATACTAGGTTGGGGTGAAGTTCGAAAATTTTCTGCCTGTTATCTTTTCTTAGTGCTGCAATGCTCACATCCGTTTCTCTTCCATATCTCATCAGCTGAGGATTCATACTCTGATCAAGGCCCTTCAGGGTTCCATAAGGCTGGTTCATTTGTGGAGAAGGTGGAGGTGTGGTACTACGATCTTTAAAATGTCACAATTAGAACAAGGAAATGTTGTAAAAATATATTACCTCTTTCCAAAGATGCAGCTCTTTTTTCTTCTTGAATTTTGTACTGCTGTAAAACTGAGCTCAACTTGGACAACCAATCCTTGAAATCAGACTCATTTTCAGAGGCCAATAAATAGGATTTATGTCCAGATGTCATTCTTAGTTCAAAACAAAACCTCCCCCTTTTCAAATTCTGAAAAAACATTAATTTTGTCTATTCATATTGTAAGGCGCTCAGAAGTACTACTAACAAATATGACACGTTTTTATTGAAATATTGCATAGGTGGACATGGTAATTAAATCATATGACCGTGGTTTCACAATTCATTGCCGATGTAAATAGACCGGGATATTGATATAAACTGTTATTATAATATTGCATGGCATTAACTAGGACACAATCATGCCAATTCTAATTCGAACCATGTAAGAAGCAGTGCATTGAATATACGTGTATTTAGTCCGGAATAGACCTTTCCTATTCCTGTACATCATATGACCTATCACAGAAGTGAAAGAAGTGATTTCACCCAGTTTGCCTTTTGGAGGGTATTATATGTATGTGCATATTTCGATGTTAATAAATGTTACATGAAAGAATCATTCCGGGTTCTTCATGCATTAAAGCGTGTTTTCAAGGTTAGGTGCACTTGGACATAATGGCAGCCTGTTTGCAATCCAGGACAAATCTTTTTTTTCAAATACAACTTCACCTGACCGTGATTCGCTTTTGAGCTTACGAAAAGGTATGCCTTAGTATTTTCAACTACGTATTTCACTTGTATTTCATTAATAAACTTTAATGCATGAATACCCGCGGGAGGATTCTTTTATGTATCATTAATCAACATCAAAATATCCGCATAATAATACTCTCCAAAAGGCATACTGGGTGAAAATGTCACTGCCTGTCGGTCTAAAACGAAAAAGCTAGCGTCTAGCGACCGAGCGCATTTTGTGTTAACATTAACTTTTCAATTGTCAAATTAACATTAACTTTTCAATTTCAAATTACCCCCCATTGATGTGTTTACCGTCTTTTATAACTGAGATACAGGACGTTATCTTGATTTGGTCATAATTTCTCAACCACGTTGTATAATCTATTCATACTTGGTAAAAATATTCCACTTATATTAACCATCAAAACTAAATAAAACTCTAGATCAGAATCCAGGTCCGTCTTGAGGAAAAACAGAAAACTTCTTTACTTCAAAAACAACACTCTGTGTGGCAAAATTTTGTAGATCTGTTTTGATATTTGGAAAGAGCAGGAAAAAATTAATAAAATTACCTACTTATTACGAGCGCGCATCCAATTTGACGGATGGTTAATTATTATTTCTTGAAATATTCACACCATTCGGAGGCATTTTTATTCAACTGCAATTCAAAATCCAATTTGGATACAAAAAAAAATAATAGTCTTCAAAGTTAAACTTCATTAGAGTCAAATTAGGTGAACTATTGATAGATTTGTTCGTTTGACAGAATAGCTTGCCACTATTTATTCATAAGCTGCGGTGAACTAGGCTGTGCAAAAAATTTTGAATGTTGAGGCATAATTATAAACACTTTGAAATGTTACAACCCAATATACAAACACCAACAATTATCTCAACGTTACCAATAATATCAAACTAGTAATTATGAACTGTCAGAATATCAGATATTTTTGCAAAGCCTACTTCACCGCACCTCATGAATTAATAGTGAAAAATAAAATGAGCCCTCAAAAATGTTCAAAACCACAGAAGTTATTTTGTCTAACGAACAGATCTATCTATTTGACTCTCATGATGTTGAACTATGAGGACTGTTATTATTTTGTAAAATAATTGGATTTTGAATTACGAGTTATATAAAAATGACTCAAAATGGAGCCAAATATATCAGAAAATAACAATAAATCATCTGTCAAATCGGATGCGCGGTCGTAAAAGGTAGGTCACTTCATTCGTTTTTCCCTGCTCTTTTCAAATATCGAAACAGATCTACAACATTTTGTCATACAGAGTGTTGTTTTTGAAATAAAAGAAGTTTTCTGTTTTTCCTCAAGACGGACCTGGATTCTGATCCCGATTTCCATTTAGTTTTGATGGGTAATATATGTGAAAAGCTATGACCAGATGATGATTTTGCCAAAATCGAGATAACGTCCTGTATCTCAGTAATAAAAGACGGTAGACACATCAATGGGGGGTGATTTGGAACCATCAAAGTGTCCTCTATCTACAGGTATCGTATGTACATTTACATCTGAACCACCCTGTATAATATATAATAAAGATTAGGAAAAACACAGAGTGTTCCATTCGAACAATACCAGCTTATGTTAAATTTTTAGGTTTACGATTGTAGGTGATTTGGCAATTCGTAGGCTTATAATGGGCTTATAAGGGCTAATAGGCTAGCTGGCTAATAAACGGTGCACTCACACTCAATTCATCTATATTACTATATCCATAACAACCATAATATCAAAACATCGCGAACATAATACAAAGGGATTATATATACAAAGGGATTCAATAAATATAAATCTTCAACAACGATCCCATTTTACATTTTCTAGTGCTAGAATCTGAATGCCCATAAAAAATACTTCATTTTCGCCCATTTGAACGTTTCTGTAATAATATCAATTGACTATAATATAAACAATCCTCCTGTACCTATATCATTTACCTTCACGACATCAGTGCAAAAATCCATAACTATTGTCACTTTGGCTTCACCTTTTTTTTCATCTTTATACATTTCCATAATGTATGTTCCATCTACTTCTTGTCGAAGATAACAATATCTCCTTTTAAAACTTTTTGAGCCAATGTTTACAAACGATCTTTCAGACCCTGAAGATAAAAATAAAACAATATTTCAATAGGAACTAGGTTGACCGGATTAGCCGGGATACTTATTTACTAACAATGATTTGAAATATGTTCCACAATGGTTAATTTTAGTTGTCAGATTAAAGATTGAATAAATAAAAAAAAGTGTGAATGAATGAATGAGTGAAATAATTCCTTCCCTGAAGAACGTGGACGATTATATTATTTTGAAATGAGTTCCAATAAAATGTTAATGAAGTAACCAAATACATCAATACTATATTACATCCAAATATTCGATTTTCATTTCGGTCTTGATTTAAGGCTAATTAAAAGAAATTTCAGTTTTTTGCCTGAAAAACTGATTGTTCTACACTCTTATTGAAACTGGTGAAAGAACATTCAAAAATCAATCCTGTAAAAGATTGACTATGAGAATATGTATTTCATAATTTAAGGCTATTTCAAGACTTTAATAGTAGCCTACTGAAATGTTTATATTATTTGCACAAAATATAGTTGTTTCAAATGGTGGAGAGGCAATACAATTTCCAACAAAATATAAATATGAACTAACTAACGATATTTTGAGGCTATTCAAGGATTTTGTTAGTTATACAATATACACCTTCACAAGTTAACGCGATCTATGAATGGAGAAGGAACTAAAATTAGCATGATCTGAAAATCTCAAGGGACGGTAGAGAAAACATGAAGGACCACCACTTAACTATCACCTGAAATAGTGTAATTTTCCTGATGATGGGTATAATAGGAAATTCGTTAATGCATTAGTGAAATTTTCATTAGAACAAGGTTTTTACAATCTACCGATTATGTGGTGGTGCTTCATCATGTTGATACCATATATTTCTACTTCTCAAATATTTCGTATAGGAAGTTCTCAGGTTTTTTAGGTATCGTTCATATTTGCACCTTTGCAGATAATGAATATGACAGGAAATATCCTCAAATCATTTGTCACATTCTATTTTTGGACCAAGTTTTCTGTGCACCCTGCGATCCGTTAAACCTTCAATATCCACGACATATTCAGTGCATATTATTCTAGATTGTAATCAACATAAAATGGCGTATGTCCGATAGGCTGCATTTGTCACTTAAAAAAACTGGAATAACTAAAAACGGCTCAATTGAGGTATGTGGTATAATATTTATGAAGCTGAATTAGAATCATGGGCAGAATCCAAAACTATAAAATACAGGGTATCCTATAGAAAATAACAAAGATGACGTCACTACCGGAAAATCCGGAAGCTTCACAATACCGAGAATATAGATTCTCCATATTTTCTTCACGTTCCCTACAGATTTTCAGAATCATGCTACTTTCAGTTCTCATGAATGTATTTTTTCTATGGATAAAAAAAAGTTGAAAAAACGTTTTACTATAAAACATAATTAGCATTTTTCAAAATTCTATCATTCTTTCTCATCATTTCTTATCATGTTTTGTTATTAGATTACTCCTATTGTTAATGTAAAAAAACATTTTCTGGAAAAAAAACAAACAAAAAGGAAATCATAAAAAAACAATTTACATTTTTGCTATCATGTTTTGATTCAGATTAGTCCCAATGTTATCGTGAAAAGAAACACTTTCTGAAAAAAAAAGAAATTTTGTACTTCTATCATACAAATTAAAATTAAAAAAAGCTCTTTACATGGAGAAAAAATAATATATAACCACGTTAACGAAGACAACTTTCGCCTCCTTGCTTATTTCCGATAAGCTAAAGCGCCTAGGCAAATAGGTCTTCTGTGCCTTGATAAACAATTTTTTTTTCTGTGACGGGGAAAAAGTTTGAAATTCACATTTTACATTCTAATTTCCGAACGAAAAACCGACTATTTCCGAAAGCAAGTACTTTTCGTCCGCAAACACTAATTTTTCGTCCGCTCTGGAATGACATGCAATGGAATTTTTTTTTTCAATTTATTGAAGTAATAAATAGCCTTGAAATATTCCTCGCAGTCCTTTCACGTTTCACGAATGTTGAAAATTATTTCTCCGTCCCAATCATAAACTTACAATTCAAGGTATGATTTTGGCAAATCTGATTGAAGTGTGTGTATTTACCTATTTCTGGTCCCTTCAACAAATACCCTTCTTTAGTGATATTATCCAATTTGGGCTTCAAATCATCCACTGCGTCAGTATCGATGTCAATTTCATATACTTCTTCTTGAAGTTTCTTTTCTTGTGAATTTTGTGGTAAATCAGCATATGTCCCAGAATATGCACTGTACTTGTAATGTATCAAGTTCCAATTGCTTGAATAACTATTAATGCATTGCTTGGTAAACAGGCTACAATTTTCAGTATCAGCATCAGAAGGAAAGTTTTGTGAAAGTGTACGAAATCTTCTAGGCACGATAATTTGCTGAAAAAAAAACACATGATAGTTTTTCTCATGTATACTTCTCAAATCAGAACCACTTACAGAAATGTCGTCAGAAGGATAGAGTAATAACTCTCTTTGAGGATCATTTTGTAGCACCGTTTTATTCTTTAAAACGAATTTCTCAAAATCCAAAGGTTCTACCAAGTGAGGTTTGGCCTATAAAAATATAAAATGTTCAGAAAAGAATTGATAGGAAAAATAAATGAAAAATATGTTTTCAATGTAGAGAAATATATTCATATTTGTTATCTCTAAGGTAATTATTAATCTAATTTCAAATGTGACAAACATCCAGTAGAAAGTCAGACACTCAATAATCTGTCCATCCAAAATACTTATTATTCATAACTCACATCACAATGTCATCAATGGATATACTGAACAGAAGAGGACTCAATTGAGAGCCTTGCGGTACACCTGAATTAGCGATATATTCATCAGAAATTGTTCCATTTAATTTGACACATAAAGAACGATCATATAAGTAAGTCACTAACCAGTCTAAAAGTGATCCAAAAATGGCAACATTCAACATATGATAACTTCTCAATGAGAATTAATTGTATGATCCACTTTGTCAAAAGTTTTAGACAGATCTGTATAAACAGTACACCGTTTTCTAAAGTAGAAACAATATAGTTGGTACAGTATAGGCCATAAAGTTAGTACATGTAGATCGCCCGTATTGGAATCCATGTTGACTAATACTTATCTGATCTGTTAATATCGTACTGATTATTATGACTATATGAACAGCATTTTGAAATACTGTAATATTTTTTTCCTATTTAATGTTCCAAAGCTACCGTATGTATATCACCTAGTTAATTGCCGCTTTCCAATTGAAAATGTGTTACCCCTAAAATAAACCGCTACTAACCTACACTTGAACTGAACCAGGATGTTGTTATTGGAACATAATTTTTATCTGAGTATTTTTGGGCTCATTATAGTAGTAATATTCTTTCAATCGGAACTAACTGAAATATTTCACTAGAACTGAACTGAATCGTTCTTTCGAATGACGTTCATTATGTACTATGCATGTTAGCTGATTCACTGCAGTTCAAGTGAAATGTGTCAGTTAGTTCAGAATGAAAGAGTATCACTTATATATTGACGGATTTGGCTCGAAATTTGAATTTGAATTTTTGTTTGTAGTATTTTTATGATGGAAAAACTTGTGTAATGTCTCATCTCGCACATTTTATACTAATCAACCCACAGGATATGAGGCTGAAGCAAATTGAAACACTATAGAGTAGGTAGTGAAAATTCTGATGAAGCTGAAGTGGATATTACGATAAAAAGAAAAATAATTAGAATCGAAAATGAAGATACTATATTGTTGTTTTGCTTTAAGCTTTAGGGTAGACCTTCGCTGGTCTTCCTGGTCCAAATATATTCAATACTGTACTCCGTTTTCAGGATCATCTAGGTATTTCCCAGAGATACATTCCACTCATTGTTTTGTAATTGTTAATGATGAAAAGAAGGTCGTTAATTTGATTGCTGTTTTCTACTAACATCTAATAAATAATACTTTCGTTTTTAACAAAACCAAAAATAATCATTTCCAAAGACAAACATACATCTGACGCGTCTGACAGTAACTTCTTTGCTTTGACATATAGCTGACTATTTTAGAGTTTGTTACCCTTTTGTAAAAGCTTGTGCAGGAGGGGGAGGGGGTAGGTAGCATTGATCAGTTGCAGTTCAAGATCTGCTCGGAGTTACTCGGTGCTACTCTAGTGGCGGCTCGTGACTTTCATGACAGAGGAGGCTGAATGATATGAGATTTATTGTGAAAAACAACTCTCTACGACTCACCCAAATCAATAGCTTCAATGACATTCTGTTTACCAGTTAACCTGAACTTAATACTTGAAGATATGTGTTCCTGTGATTTGCAGTGCCCATCCAATCCGCGAGGCAAATTTTTCTAATAAATATATCCTAATCGCCCCAACATGATAACTTATCGGTTGAAAATAATACGCAGTACCAACAAAATAGCTTATTCCTTACCTCAGATCCCGTCAACCAGATATATTTTTTATAGTTATCAGAATTGAACGAACGATTTTGTTTGCTACCTGTTACAATCAGATTTCTTTATTCCGGTGTCGGACGTTTGTTTTTCACAATCAATTTATCTTCATAAGATAAAGCACTGAATGGGTTCACCAAAAAGTATTCCACTGAATCGCAATCGTTTAAAACACTCATTTTTCAGAAATGTTTAGAGCCCCTAACCATTAACCTAACATAAACATAAACAATGCACTCGCGCTGGATTGTCCGCAATTCGCGACGCGACACGACAAACACGTGCTATTCGGGCGTATTCGAGCATTTGCATTGCGAGCGTGAGTTGCGAATTGTGAAGGAGTCTAGCCTCTTATAGATGTTGCCAAGTTGAATATTTTACGCGTGATTTGCAAACTTCAACGTGTGATGCGTGGGCAAGCACTGTTGCCAATCCAAAAATATTTACCTAAAGACAGGAAATAAAATCAAAATCCATGTATTTTGGTGTCCTTTCAATGAGAAAGTATAGATAATATCAGTTTAAGGAGAATCTCTGAGGAGGCTCAGCCTCCGTTGCCTCCTCTGAGGAGCCGCCACTGTGCTACTCACTGTGGCAATTGGAAAGCGGCTCATTATTACTGCACAGCACGAAACCAGAAGTGGAAAAATCATTCTAATGTCAAAAAGTGACGTTTGTTAAGCAATTAAGCTGTTCCAAATTTCAATGGGTTGCGTGCAAGAACTGTCAGATGACCTATCCTGGAGGTGAAACATTGAAACACAACCTCACTTTTCTTATTTGTATACAAATGATTGAAATAGTTTTTCACAATTATTTTGGCATACGAATTGTGTTTTTCAGCTATTCATTAATTCGCGCATGCCATCACATTGTGCTGTTGTACAATGCACAAAAAATGTAGCGAGAGACGAAGGAATCCGGTTGGTACATTATGATTCAAATGTAAGTACCTACTATAGTCACTCACATATAGTTTTCATTTTGAAATTTGGTAATTTTTCTGATTTCTCATCGGAATTTCTTCTGCAATTGGAGCTAATAGAAATACTCGTGAAATTTCTAAAAGAATGCAACAAGATTGGAATCCTGCAATCAAACGGGAGGACCGGTCTGACATACTGTGTGTTGTAGACATTTTCAATCTATTAGCAGTATTAGCTTCTATTGCAGAAGTGGCAGAAGGAATTTTAGTAAGAAATTACAAAATTTTATAATGTAAACTATGTGAGATTACTATTTACTTGAAAAATGATATTCCTTCGTCTCTCGCTGCATTTTTTGTGTATTGGACAACAGCACAATGAGAAAGCATGCTTGAATTAATAAATATCGCAAAAAATACGATTCGTATGCCAAAATATTGTGAAAAACTAATTCAATCCTTTGAATCCTCTGTAGACAAATACAAAAAAATTAGGCATTCGCTGATGATACTCAGCTATATCTAAACTTTCGGACTGAAGATTTCGCCTTTGCAGGAGAAATCATGAACAGTGAATTGAATAGAATTAAGACATCTTCATATGAACACAACTTGAAACTCAATTCTGAAAAATCCAAGGTACTATATTTCGGTAGAAAAAATAATATAAACTTCTTGAAGAACAGTCTCAACCTACATATTGATAATACCCCATTACAAGTCTGTGATTCAGCAAGAAATCTTGGTTTAGTACTAGACACTGACATGCGGTTTGCCCAGCATATAAAAAATCTTGTTGGTAAAGCTTTCGCATCCTTAAAACTCATTTACAGTAATCGACATATTCTTAGTGTTAAAATGAAACGAACTTTGTGCGAGTCACTCGTTTTGAGTCACTTCAACTATTGCGACTTTCTTTACGGTTCTTGCTTGACGAAAACTGATAAAGATAGAATACAAAAAGTCCAAAATAGCTGCTGTAGACTGATCTATGGTATCAGAAAATATGATCATATTCCACATAACTTTAGAGAATGCAACTGGCTTAATATGAACAATAGAAGACAGCTCCACATAGGTACCTTTACTCACAAACTATTAAATGACCCCAATCCTCCAGCTCTGGCGAGCAAATTTGTTCCTAGATTCAGAATACACTCGAAAAATATTAGGCAGAGAACCATCTTGACCATGCCTCAACACAAAAATACATATTTTCAAAGATGTTTTGTCTTCAATGCTATTCAAACGTATAATATTTTACCTGACGAATTCAAAATTTATAATATAAATAAGTTCAAATATAAATTGAAGAAGCATCTACTCGATAGGCAGTCTTGATATTATTTTTAGTACATTCTTCATGTCCTAGATTTATTATCATTTGAAACTCTATCATTCGTAATGTTATAGTAATTAATAAGTAGGCACCCATTATGTATTATGTATTGCATTTCATTATTTTATAATTTTTTTTGTTATATTTTTTGTTGTTGTTGATTACCTTCCTTGCTGTCTCAGCCAATTTGCTAAAGCCATTTTGCATCTTTTTTGGGCATGTAGCCCTCTGTTGGTTAAGTGGAATAGCTTTGAGCTAGACTTCGCCAACAGTCTATGTAAGATTTATTTTTTTCATGTACACCACATATGACAATAGAAGGCGTTTATTATTATTATTATTATTATTATTATTATTATTATTATTATATGGCAGTAGGTAAAGTATAGTACATAATGCGTGTTGTGAAGCAATTACGCACTCATGGAAATACGCACTCGCCGCTCCGCGGCTACGTGCGTAACTTTTCCATTCGTGCGTAATAAGCTTCTTAAAACACATATTACGTAATATACTATTAATCAGGCTCATTTTGACCTCAGGAATATGTGCTGAGATTTTGTACAGACCTTTCAAGGACACCCTGTATATTGAAATCGGTCAACGTCCTTGGCTTTTTTCTCGTATCCTTGCATAGATCACCCGGTATACGAACATTTCACATTCATATTCAAATAATGATTTGAAGCTGTCCGTTTTCGAACCCGTAGTTATTTTGCATCTTTTTCATGGTATGTGAACATCTCTTTTCTATACATATAACGGCAAAGCTTTGGAATTCTTTGCCAATGGAAGTATTCCCAAGAACTTATAACCTCCAAAAGTTCAAATTCCAACACCTA